TTTTTTGAGACAGGGTCTTGCTCTGTCACCCAGGCTGGAGTGCAGTGGCATGATCACAGCTCACAGCAACTTTGAATTCCTGGGCTCAAGTGATCCTCCCTGCTCAGCCTCCTGAGTAGCTAAGATCACAGGCACATAACATCATGCCCAGATAATTTCCAAATTTTTTGTAGAGAAGGGGGTCTCACTGTGTTGCCCAGGCTGGTTTTAAACTCCTATTAGACTCAATAAATCCTCCTCTCTTGGCTTCCCAAACTGCTAAGATTACAGGCATCAGCAACTGCACTTAGCCTCTGTCTCCATTTTTATTCACCCCCAATTTTTCTTCATTATGCCAGAGTGATATTTTTCCAAAATTCAACTCTGATCACATCACTCAGTCACCTGCTTAAAATACTTCAATAGTAACTCATATTCTACAGAATAAAGTTCAGATTCTTTAGCATGGCAAATACGATCCTGATCATTTTTCTGCCTCAATTTCCATCGCTTGTCCTAATATACCTTGTACTTAAGCCATGTTGAGCGACTTACAGTTCACTTAACAAGTGATGGCCCCTCTTGACACACATCTTTACATGTATCATCTACCTTTTTGGAATTCTCTTCTCACTCTCCATATCTAGTTAATGCCTACCCATCTTCCAAGAGGCACTTTGAAGGATGAGTATCTTACTGATTTAAGGAGATGGGGGAAAAAGGAATGATTCAAAAGAGCCTGTGCTCTTCTCCACCCTCTCCCTCAGGTGACCTGATCCAGGCCTCTATCTTGAAATACCATCTATCACATGACCCCCCAAGTCTTTACTCCAGCACAAAGTCTATCTCTACAATTCTAAACCCACACATCCAAATGAAAAAGCACCTCAGACACAATATATTTAAAATTGAACTCATCTTCCTCTTCCAAAACCTTCTGCTATATCCCACAGTCTTACATATAACTCACTGTACAGCTTTCTCTGTCCCTATCCTTTCTGTCTTCCCACTTGACTTGTCTTTGATTTCCACACTCTCAGCAGTGATGGAGTTTTCACAGAGCATTTGCCACATAAACTGTTTAGAGATATTAACTATGTCTGATCTTATTAGTGCTCCAGGGCCAAATACCAAAGACATTTGATAAATGTTTGTTGAATAAATGACTCCTAGAAAATGCACGCTGCTCACATGGCAATCTCAATGATAATGGAATTTTGTATTTCTGATATCATACAATGGCTACAATTTGCCTGACAGAAAATGCCTTTGGTTCATTCAACACCTTTAGTTAGCATGAAACTCGGATGGTGCTCTTCAAACACCATCCAGGCTTCCCTACCTCGTTTTTATTCACTGTGTCTCCTCAGTTCAGAATTTTCTCTTTAACATCTTGGGTCAATAAGTTACTCATCTTTTAAGGTTCACTTCTGTGAAATTTACCTGTTCCCTTCTTCCCTGTGAGTCTTCTCTGTTCTTCCCTCAAACTTTTCTTTTGGTACCTACTATATTTTGCATTGCATTACACTATTTGTATACATGTCTTTTCTTCCTACTATCCTACTGGGCTGATATCCTGGGGATCAGGCACTATATCTTATCTCTGTGCCTTAAAAACACAAGGTCTCAATACATATATTTGATTAGATGGAGATAATTAGCTACTTACCAACAACAAAGAGACGTCATGATAGTACCCCTCACCACTCCTCCAGTATGGTCAACACTGGTATGGGATGCGTTTCCATGGTACAATCACTAGCTATTACATGAACGGTGCTGCTCAGCTATAAAGCCCCATCCTGTCACTCCTTTTGGAACTTCATGATTGAGTGAAAATTTTTTACTTTGAAAATCACACAATTAGATGACATGCTGATATACTAAAATATTTCCAGGCCAAAAAGGGAGGATAGGTTTAAGTATTTTACCCTCAAACACTTTTAGTATAATATTACTAGACTCTGCAGTAACATGGTAAGTGCCCCAACAAAGTGAACTACTAGAATTGCTGTATTCCATGGCTTCTACCTCCTGAAGAAAGATACTGAGATCTGTAGATCAATCTATGGATCAATGATGGGCAAACCAGACAGAAATGCCCGAGTCAGAGAACCAACAGCCCATTTGGATGGTCAGATGATGGGGGACATCCAGTCAGCAAAGAATAAATCTTGTGTAGGTAGGAGAGTCATTACCACCTAGCTCTTGTCGTAGCGGTGGTGCTGGAGTTGGGTGGACGTGTGGGACATGTACCCATGGGGTCCAACCAGAGCAATGCCAGACTCAGACTCTGGCAATGGGGCATAAGGCACTTGACTACACCCTCAACAGGGCAGGAAAGCCATATGTTAGCTTTCCTAAAGTTAAAAGGCAAGGGAAGCTATACTGCATATCTGAACTAAAGGACAGGCAAGGAGCTAAAGGAATGGCTTGGAGTGGCATCTAGGAACAAGAGTACTCAGTCACTGGTCCTGTTTGGACAGTTCAAAAGAAAATGGCCTAGAGCTCCTTATAGAAACATGGCTCTCCCAGTAGAGGTGGACGTATCGCAAAATGATGCAACAGGAAAGGAATGTATTGAAGTCTTGGCTTGCTGTGTATAACAAATCACTTATCTTCAATTTTGCTTTTACTTACAAATATTTATTTTGAATGCAAAATTTTTACATTGATCAAAAAGGATTGTGGTTGAGAAATGAGGTTCTAGAGGCAAGAGTGGTCTCAAGGTCTAGGACAGGACAGGATCTACGCGTGGAGGCTAAGGGGCTCCAAGGAGCACGTCATTAAGGAGCAGCCAATGCAGGCATTTTACTCTACCATCTTACTCTAACATTGGCACATTTTAGGGCCAGGTTCTTAGAATATCTGCATTCACTCGTGCTGACCGTCTTCCCTCAAAGACTCTATCCCTTTTCTATGTGTGATCTGGGGCAGAGGTCAGGCTGTGTAGTCAGGTATCACTGTATGGGCTTCAGTTGGGAGAGTGTTTGGGAAAGCTGAGGTTGACAACTGGAAAATGGAAGTTTGGTTCTCTCAACAACCTATCCTGAGGTGAAATTATTATCTTTAAAACCTTAACTCTTGAGTTCATTAGACAAATCTGCAATCTAAAGCTGAGGGTTTCATTTTGACATATCTGTACACTGACAATGCTGCATGAATTTTCAGATGACTAATCACTTGTTCCAGAATGAAACACTGTGTGACCAGCTGTATAGCCTTTAGAACAAGTTAAACAGTTTGGTAGCAACACAGTTTCTTTTTTTGGAACCAGATACTTAGAATGTTTTAAAAATTAGGCATGTTATTGAAACGTGTAACAATCTTCTCACATCACAATACTGTAGTCTTTAGACTAATTGCTAAATTTCTCCTTCTCCCTAAATTGAATCTCAGAAGATCCATTAATCACTGTTACATAAACACGAAAACAAATTATCTAAAGCCACTCTCGAGTTACAGTTTGCAAGTTGTCCTTCCTGAATTTATCGTGAAATAATTCCCTGTCAAGCTGGGGTGGGCTGGCGGCAGCACCCAGATTAAAAGCCAATACATTCCTGTGAACAAATTATCCAACAAATAGCAGCTCAAAGGGATGCTTTACGCTGAGGCAAAATTGGGAAAATACAGCTTTTTTTTTTTTCTTAAATTACATTTAAGGGGAAGAGTCAGAGGGAAAATATATTGATTGATACCTATTTGTGAATGTCTCTAGGAGTTACACTGCAATCTTCTGCAGTTCTTGCTTTTTCAACATGTTACCAATTGGGAGTTGTGGTGATTATGCAGGAAACCAGCAGATAGTTGCAAATATCACATTCAAGACAAGTAAGGTAACACCAACTTTTTCTCTAAGTGCTGCCAAGAATTTCTGGTGACTCTCTGCAGACACGCTCATAGAAAATTTAATAGGACTCTTGACCTGTTAGAACTTGCTAGGATGGATTAAAAAAAAATCCTTTTTGTCCCAGAAGCTGTCACTAATAAAAGCTGTTTTCAAAGAAATACAATTTTTTTTTTTAAAGCAACAAATCCAAGTTGTTCCTGACCTCCTTAAAACTCACCATTGGGTTCACTCATAAGTATGAAATAAATAGGAAATACTTAAGAAGACACATTGGCAGATATTACTCTAAATTCACAGAGAAAACTCTGAGGTAATGCCAAATAAATTCTTATGTAATCATTTATTAAGCATGTGGGATTACTCAAACATACCAGTTACCTAATCTTTCAAGTGGAAAAAATACTTCATTGGTGATGAAGTAGGGAATGGGAATAAGGGATGAGCAAACCATAGAAAATATTTTTAAAATTCTATTCATGTACTCCAAAAATCTGGGGCTATCCTAATCTCGAAACTTGCCTTAGTGGCTGCTAGTTTAGTTGCATGATTATAATGTATTTTCCTTTCTGTTGCATTTTTTTTTTTTTTTAATCAGAGCATGATTTCATATTTTTCTGCATAAGCAGAAAAATCCCAAGCCTCCCACATTTAAAGTAGATACTGGAGTAACCATTTTATTATTGCATCCAGATCATCTCTGGTGTCTTAATGCTAACTGGTAGGCAGGATACTATAGTGGTGAAGGGTTTGTATTAACACAGACTTGATTTTGAAGCCCAATCTCTGCCACTTACTAGCTACTTAACTGTGTGCAAATTATTTAATCTAAGTTTCATTTGCCTTGGCTGAAATATTGGGATATCTTGCTCATATAAACCATTTCATGTAATGCGCAACACTTAATAAGCACTCCAATAAATACTAGTTAGTATTATGAGAATTCTTTTCAACATGATTTTCCTCAAAGAAAAATATTTTGGTGACAAAAGGTCTGGGAGTGGAGTGAATAACAGCCATGGGACTTTTGGAAGCCCCTCTAAATGGCTTCATCACTGTCATAAAAAAGTAGTCTGGTTTGAAACTAGGTGAGAGCCCATACAGCCACCTCTGTAGAAAGGAGACAGGGCAAGAAGATGCCACCCTGAGGAAGTCAGAGAGCAGTCTACACTGGGAAATGCAAACTAAGTGGCTCAACTGTGCCCTCTGGAAGGTGTTATTAGAAAAACACCACTATGGACTGATACACACACATATTGCTACTGCAAAGCAGGACAAATATTTGAAGGTATTCTTGTTATTACTAACAGGAAGTCCATGAAACTTTCACTGTGCGTCCCATCCTCCAGTATCTATTCACTTGCAAGTTATAGAACCCACACACACAAAAAAACAAATCCTTCTCTGTGTATTTTATATCCCCTCCCCGCTACATTGCCCTCTTAGTACCTGCACCTGAAAATTAGTACTCATTGTTGTAACAAGGGATGGAAGTAGGAGGGAATGGCAGGAACTATAAAACAAAATTGCATTGGATAAGCAGAATGAAGGCTATTCCCATAATATTTAGAGAAAAAGTAAAGCAATGCTTTGAAGAGAGACAGTAAGTGAAGACTGAGAAGCAATGCCATAATTCTCTCAAACCTGTTGTTTCTTCTAGTTTTCTGTTCAACATCGTGCAGTTTCTATCTTTTGAGATGCTGCAGGGGAAAAAAATGCCATTAGAAATTTAGGTCATGAAACCAAACACTTGAGAAAAAAAGTTTTCTACATTTTGAATTTTATAAAGCACTATTTATGTTCCTCCAGAATAGAGCCGGAACAGCTCTAGCAAGTTGACTGATCCCATTGCCAAAGTGCATATTTAGGCAGGCCAGTTGTTCCAGAAGAAATATTCATCTAAAATGCCACCTGTACCTACATTTTCTCTCAGTAGCACGTTAGACACAGAGACTTCTGCATGTCCAAAATTCCATGGTTAATGGCCCCTTTTCTCAATTATAATAGATGATTTAGCTTTGACAAAAAGATTAAAGGATATGCAATTATTTATTACATCAGTGACTTAAAACTCTCATATTTAGAAATAAATTATGCAGCAATTTGATATGAACCATCCTGCATAAAACAGCCTGTAGTCACCAAATCTTTCAACTAGCCTGTTTACACCACTGAGCCCATTATCGGTCTTGTGGGTAACAATCACAAACATAAATCTCCTCTCAACCCTTTTGTTTTACCAACATTTTCTCATTAGATTAGATGCTGAGTACAGTCACATAAACCTCACAAGAATAATGACCTATAGATAAAAAGCTATTTCTCTACCTAAATGGACTAAGCCACAGAATAATTTATGCACTAATTCCTTCTCTTTGTACTTACCAAGTTGTTTTAAATCTCCACAGGTCATGATCTATCTATAAATATTTTATATACATCAATATACATAAATGTTCTTGCCCAGGCATACTAAGACAATTTCTAAATAACATCAAGTAGCTCCAAGACTGGCCTCTCCAGTGACCTGCTCACGCAGACCTTGTGTTTTTGCACATTTGGAAGTGGCCTCAGCTGTTGGTACACTCATCATTATATCTCCCCAACAGTGTGTCAAGCTTTTCCAGCTGTCCTTTACTTCTCCACCAATGCATGCATTGTTGCCATTCTTTCATAATTGGTTGTGTGCACAAGTTCTATCCCAAATCCTACTGTGTCAAGGGAACTTAATAAACTATAAAAACTTTCTAAGAAAGTGACAGAAGAAAAAAAGAAAAATGCCTGATTTCTCATGGGTCTTAGCATTATGTAGTGACATGATCTTAGAGATGTATTACTATATAGAATGAGAGATTTGTTTTATTCTGGGATCTATTTCCAACTTATAGTAATAATCATTTAAAATAGTTTGCTTTAGTATTGGACATTAGACTAATACTTGCATTCAAGTTCATTTAATCCATTGACTTTGAAAATCATATTTCTGGAAATTTCTGATGACTCGATTATATAGGAGAACATTTCCTTATGTTTCTTTCTTGCTTTAGTCACCATTTACCATTAATATTTAAGAAACATGTATATTTAAAAGCTTTCTGGGGAAACCCTTCAAAAAATTCCTCTACAGTTTTTCAATGCCTATCCTTAGCCTCAATTTTGTGGAAAATCTTACCAATGTGAAGATACAGCGATAGTTTTTCACAAGTTGAAAGACCCCAAGTTTATTATGTCAAGTAGTTCTTATGTGGGATCAGTATGTGGGATCTTATGTAGGATCATTGTGATACTAGCAATCCTAATATCACAAAGCAACACCAAGATTCAAAGATGAGACTACACTGAAGTGTTAGCCTGCCATGCAGTGGAAAGGGCAACTATCTTTTCCAACAACCTATCAAATACTATTTAATAGTAGTGATAATGGTTAGTGAAGTTGGCTTTGCAAAGTCTTTACAGAATCAAAACTGAACTCAAATGGACAATCTATTTGTGTTTCCTAAGCTAGTCTAATAATCTTGGTTAGTATGATTTAGACAGCTTGGAAACAAAAACACATGAAAAATAAGAGTGATTCCCATAACAAATCAGTTTTTCTGCTGCTTTGAGTTTTGGAAAACAAAGTGATACAAGTGCTAAAGCAAACAGGGTGCTAAATTTGGGCTCTGATAGTACGCAGACTCTCTCTCTTTGCACAGTCTAACTGGTCTAAACCATGTCAAGTTAGTGCAGTATGTTGGCTACAGAACTTTTGGGCACTGGTGTAGATCTAAAGCAACTATCTGGCTCAGAATCTACTTGAACTTCCTAAACATCTCTGGGCAGCAAGTCCATTATAAGCATGTTCTACAGCACCCAGATATCAACCACGGCCAAAGCAAAGCCACTTAAATAGAACCGTGAGGTCCATTTACTGGTGGCTTGGAAAGGAAGTGATTGAAATACTAAGGCTATGCTTATATCTACAGCTAAGTTCAGAAAAAAAAAAAAAAAAAAAAAAAAAAAGGAAAGAAAAATCCCTTATACTTGAATGGTCGAGTGTAGTTTTGAACTTTAGCTAACACAATTAAGAAAAAGTTTGGTCCTTATGCATTCACATCCTTGCTCAATAAACAAACAAAAAACAAATATGAGTTTCTTCCTGTAGAACTAGTTTTCGTTCCTAAAAATGGAGATTCAAATGTATTTCTTAATTCTACTTGCTGAGCTTTCTCCCGATCACCAAAACATGCTTATAAACACAAACTCTCCTTTCCATTCCCTGCCTCCTTAGATTCTCAACCTAGCTTAAAAAAAAAGTTGTTTCTTTTTAGGTCAGACGCTGATTTAAGGACCTAAATTATACTTGCCCTTAAGACAACTATAGAATTGAGACACGAACACCTTCGTTTTCCCATAGTTAAATGGACATGATAATGCCTTTTCATTTGTTTCTTTCAACATCACAAATACAAGATTCACATTTTATTTTTCTGCCTCTTTTCCAGTAAGGTTGAAGTACATGGAACCCAGTTAGGATCTCCCCCTCTCCCATCAATAATAAAGCCAGGAAGCTGGATTTGAAGCATTGTTTGTCCTTGCGGTCCTTGGAAGAACTCCCGCTCTTTAAATTGACAGTGCAGCTGTTGATCAAAAAATTATTCAGAAAGATTAATATGTTCTCAAACTAATATTCTGTCAGACATGTTGATTGTAAAGACTTATAAAATACTTATGTCTAAGTAAAAACAATGCCTATTTACATCTGTAACAAACTAACAAAAATAATTTAATGTAGAATGAAAAGCTCAACCTCGTTTCAACTCTGTACTAGATGACAGAAGTGCCCTGTGATGACCAAATGCTTGGGCAATGTAGGGTGACTGCCACCATTGAGCCAAAATACAATCACATGCATCAGGGTCAGAGGCTGGCTCCTCAAAGCCAGCCAGCTTTTCTGGCTAGAGATGGACACAGAATGTTAGGTGCTTCTTCCAACACCCAGATGATAAGTGAGGAAGGGTGACATTTGCGGCCATACACCTTTCAGAAACAAACTAAATCTGCAGTTTATCCTTAATTTAAGAAAAAGAAAGGAATACAATAGGATTAAGGTACATGAAAAAGAGCAGCTGTCAGATCTGACTTCTACTATTAGTTCTAATTAACCTCAGGCAGGCCCCACAAGCCCTGTGAACATGAATGACTACCCTCACCTGTGAAATCAGAAAATAGGCTTGGTGACGTCCATGTGCTTCTGTTCTCATATCACTCAATGGTCTCCAAACATCTTTCATTTATGAAATAAGTATTTTAAATGATGTAGATGTGGGTGGGGACCTATCCTACTCCACTGTCATATCTTAAGATCCACCACATATTTAGTTCATAATTATTTAAATATGGTGATACTGATGCTTTAAAAATCCTTAGAATTAGGCCTTGATGAAAATCTACACACATCTAGTAATCACTAAGACAAGACAAAATTTAGGTCATGAAATGCCAACCAATTCAATAGTGTTTTGTTCAAGTTCAATAATGCAATCTGATACTGCTGAAATTCAACTTTCTCTTAAATAGAAACATTTTTTAAAAAATCCTGAGGCAGATTTTTTTTTTGTGGTTGTTATTCAGGGACTACTTCAAATTTACCAGAAATGCCCCAATACACAAATATCTGATTAAACTGAAAACCACCTATAAACTACAATCTGTTATGCTTTACTCAAAATAATTACGTGCTATTCACATCTTGATTTGCCAGTTTTGATAATGGTGTGCATGGCCAAATTTAGAGTTACAATGGACTTATGTAACGGTAAATACTGTATCAACAGTTAACACAATCTGTGATGCTTTTTTCTTTTTTAGAAAAACATATGGCAGATGCATCTGGAGACAAATTTTTCAATAGGCTCCTCATGGCAATGGAGGATGCTACATATCACATACAGAAGTAAAGGCAATAGCTGCAAAGCATGCTCCCTAGCATATTTGTAATGGTGTATTATATCCTTCCCAGAGGCTTCCCTAGAAAGCAAAGTTTTTTTTTTTTAATCCACAAATAAATGACCAAGAGATTTTAAAGAATGCTGTGTTTTGGAGGTGAGATATGACAATACCAACAAATGTAGAAGGTAAAATTTTGCAACTTTTCCATACAGGATTTTCCATTGTACTATAAATAAGCCTTCTCTCCATACTTGTCCTTTAGGAACTCCATTCCTAAAGCAGAGTTATCTCAAGAATCCCCTCTGTTGATTAGATAAAAATGTGACAGAAACAATTCTTAGGCACATTTCACTTCTCTTTAAAACAATTCTTTTAAAAATTTAAGACATTCTTAAGTATTCACAATTGTACAACAGAAACAACTTTTTAATAGAACGTATTATTCTTGAAATGGATGTTAAATTTGAACAAGGCTCTTAAAAGGAATTTTGTAGCATCCTACACTCTGAATTCCCCAACTCAGTTTAATCTTCAGACACCCACTTGTGCCAGGGTCAGTGAAACAGAAAATTCTATTTATCAAAAATAGTTTCCTATTTAAAATGAGCACCCTCTTTGATACCACTTATTAAAAGCTACTTATGTCCCATACAAACTGGTATATTTGGCATTTATTGAAACTACCAGTAAACTCCAGTATTACTCTTCTTTTGAAAACATCAACATTTTTGGTATGTGGAAGAGTTCCAAACAGTTTGACCTTGCAATGTGAATGCTCTGTTAACCACAGCAGTGGCTTCTAGTGGAGCTGCTGAGCAGCTGTCATGTTTCCCAACAGAACAGGGTGTAACATTCTTCTGCTCACCATGTTTATTTAATGGCACACTCTAACTCTCAGGGCATGCAGTCTGCTGAAAACATCAACCACTATCATTGACTGCTGTGTACCCTTTGCTATAAAGTTACTCTCTTAACAATAAACAAATAAAACACACTATTTTATACTATTGGGTCAAATTAATTTTATTATGCTCCATGATGAATTGCCACCAGTGCAACATCCTATTCACTATACATTTCAAAAAAAAAAAAAAAAAATTCACATACTAAACAAAATTTCAGTTGTTTGAAAATGAAATGATTGAAAGTCTTTATGAATCTCATACATACAATATGTGGCTAGCTGAAATTGTCTATCACGTAGCATTTAGATATAAAAAAAGCCTCATGCTAGTTTGTTAAATGCAAAGGCTACCAGACAACCATATAGCTGGAGAATATACAGAGGCTTTCAGACAACGCACAGGTATAGTGCTGCTCACAGTGCAAGATGGTAGAGGACTGAAACATGCAACCTTACACCTTACTTGGTAAAGCAGATTTAGTCTTCATGCCTGGACTGAACTCCACAGCTGCTGTGTTTCAACCAATAGTAATTTAGACTTTGTGCAACAACAACCAAAGTCTTTTTTTTCTTTAAGAAAAAAAGAATAAATTCAATTACCTTTGGCAAATTATATATCTATCTTACATGTTCAAAATTGTGCTTCGACTTCAAAGAATGGATACTCTCTGCTGAGACAAGTTCCTGATAAATATTTGTTATACCAGAGTTAGCTCGAAAATCTTGAATTCCTTGGCCAAAAGTTAACAGAGATCTTAAATTGGCATTACCTTGAAGACATTTCTAGGAAATTTAAAATGTTTTCATATTGTCAAAAAGAAAAAAAAATTAACATTACTTAAAATAATTATAATATCCCATTTAACTTTTGTACAAATTCCTGATTTTATTGGTTAGTAGCTGTTCAGCCTCATCTGCACCAGATTCACTGAGCTCAAGCCACAATAAAAATGATAGTAAGTAGAAAAAGGTTTCTAGCAGCAGAGGGCACTGTTGTTGCAAGAAACAAAAAGTCTAGAATCTTTCCTCCCATGTGCTTAAATTACTCTTGCAAGAAAGATAACATTCTTTGAATAACTTAACTATTTTACTGCACCACTTACTGCTTTCAGCAACAAAACCTTTTAAATTATTTCTTATGATAACTAGATGCATGATCACTATAGATTATGTAATAAATGGTTAAAATTCAAGCCACATCTTGCAGGTCCAGCCTGTCAAGATCTGCCAATACTAGATTTGGTCGGTACAGTTCTAGATAGCATAATTTTTAGTTGGATATTGCGACTAAGTAATGAAATACATTTGGAACTACATTATGCATATGACTCAATGTGAGAAAAATATGTCTGTATTTAAATCAGATAATTTTCTACCTAAAATTTAAAGTAGGTAGGTATGATAATTAGCATTATAAATATGAAACAACCACCTTTTGGCAGATTAGTGTATTGCAGAGAGGCAAAGAAACCCTATTTTTAACACACCATTTAGTATACATAACAAATGAGCAGGTTGTAAAGTTTTATCTTTAAAAAGAATCTATCACTCGGTTATGTGTTCCAAGAAATTTGACACTGGGGTCACTGATCTTTTTAAAAAAATGTAACCCTTCACTTGCTATTTGACAAAAATCGTCAAAAATTATCAAAATAAATGCATGTGAGGTCCTGGTTTCAGTGAATATCTTTGCCAACTAGATTAGATTTTCACAGTTGGTATTTTTGAATACCTCAATCCACACGAAGTGCAAAATAAAAATGCTGAAATTCCACACTACTTTAGTACTATTCTGATTTGTATAGCTTTTTTAACCAAATATTGGAGTAACCATAATATGACTTCAGTTCATGTATAATGAAAAGTACTCCCTAAATCCCCCAAACTTCAACTTAAATTTTGTTTCAGAATAATACCAAAAAAAAATTTCAAAAATTTTGCCAAAAAGGGCCTGCCACATTTGCTAACAGCATCAAAATAACCTTAGTCAATAACAAGTATGTAAGGGCTCCTTATGATTCCAGCCTGCAAATACCACTGCTATCCCAATAACAGGCAGTATTGCTGTAAGAGGTGTGTCACTCATCTTCCCCACTAGTATCTCTGTAGTGATTTTATGTAGAGCATATTGCTAAAATTTGAGAAACTGCATCAGTATAGTGATGTCTAGAGAACTGTGCAATGTATCAGCTTCAACATTCATATGTAGTGTTGTATTCAAAATAAAGGGGCTAAAGAAACTAAGGTTTGCATCACTTAAAAAAGAATGTAGTGCTATACTAGATTTTTTTTTTTTTTAAGAAAATTTAGGTACAGAAAAAGTAGGGTATGAAAATAGTGTTTTCCTTCTGGCATTATAAGTAAATTACATTAAGGTTTTTGTCAGTCTCACATATAGTATTTAAACTCCCTTGTTGATGGAATGAAAACTATTCACAAATCAAGTGAGCATCCTGGTGTAAACTTGCACACAATAACAGGGAGTAGCTTTGTAGAGGATTATGACAAACCTTTACAGATTAAATGAGGTATTGCACAGATTAATTAAAAAAAAAAGCAAAAAAGGCAACAAAAATATACAGCAAATTGGTAGAACATTTACATGATAATTTTACAGAATCCACAGAAAGAAAGTAGTGTTTAGTATTTCACCTTAAAAATATATATATATATATAATATATAGATCAGTCTTCCCACTCATCATCATCCTCAAAATCTTCTTCATCATCTTCATCTTCATCTTCATCTAGAAGAAAATTGAGACACACAACCAAAATATATGCATAAATAAAACGACATTACATAATTCTTGGGTGATTTCTCCAATCTAACTCCTGAAACACAGATAATCTGACTCCCAGAAGAATCTAGTTACTGAAATAGTTTAAAGTGAAGCTAAAGAAATATATCTATAGAGTACGATAGTAAACTAAAGATTAAAACAGCACTCAGAAGACGAGGGTTCTAATTCCTTAGTATCTATGTGACAAATTTCAACCTGTGTTAATGTATAAAATCACATCTGGGTTGACCTTTCTGTCACAAATCCAACTGCCTTCTTGTACTCTTCATGTAGATTCTCAAATTCAAACTTCTAACTTTTATCTCCTTTCCCAATCTTCTTTTCCTGCTCCATCCTGGTCTGCTCCACCTCAATAACTGGCACCACCATCCTGTCACCTAATCAGGCCAAAAACCTAGAAATTATGATTACTTCCTCCTTCACCATCCAATTATCAAGCCTGCTCTCTTTCACTTTTTTCACTACTACTCTCCACACCACCATCACATCCTGCTTGGATTACTGCAACTCTAGAGTCTATTTGCCTCACAGCAAATGGTGTGATATTATTTAAATTCCAAGTTTAAAAACATCATGTTGCTACCCTTCTTTAAGTCCTCCTGTGGCTACCTACCACTGCCATCTGAATGAAATCTGATGTTCCCTACCTCTAAAAGACCCTACATGATTTACGCAGTTATTGTTTCTCCCCCTCCCCCAAGCTTTTCTCATAACACACTCTCCCTTCAAGTCACTATCCCTATTAAGATGGCCTCCCTTCTGTCCCTTAAACTTACCAAGCTTATTCTGGCTTTAGAGCTTCTGCAGTAGCTATTTCTTCCGGTAAACTAATCTTTACATCATTTAGGACCCACTCAAAAACTACTTCCTCAGAGAGGCCTTTCCTGACCATCACACATAAAGTATAGCCCCTTCCCCACAATCAGTAACTGCCTATTCCATTTTATTTCCTCCTATCACTTACTAATATCTAAAATTACTGTACTTTATTAAGCTCCATGACAGCAGGGACCCTGCCTATCTTATTTTTCCTCAACACCAAAACAGTGCTACTAATCAGCTGTTCAATAAATACTTGTTGAAGGAATATTTAGATATCATTAGATTTTATGCACATACTTCTATATTATACAGACTTTCCATATTTAACCTCTTAAATATATATACCTCATAGGACCCATGAAGACCAAGTATATAAAGTGAGACAGCAGCTGAGTAACTGCATTTAATGATAAACAACCAGTAAGACTATGTGACATATGTGTGGGTTACATGTACAGAACACAGAACAAACTTTTTCTTCTATTTTTCTCCATATAAAATTGATTGTCTTAGGATCTGAAAAAGTACTTGAGCTCTGGTATTAAAACTTGAAAATTAACAGAAGCCAAAGAGGGGCAACTTTAACTTCTCTTGGCCCTAAACAAAGTTGTAACTTATTTTTACTTTTTATTTTTTGAGATGGAGTTTGACTCTTGTTGCCTAGGCTGGAGTGCAATGGCACAATCTTGGCTCACTGCAACCTCCACCTCCCAGGTTCATGTCATTCTCCAGCCTCAGCCTCCCGAGTAGCTGGGATTACAGGTGCCGATCCCCATGCCTGGCTAATTTTTGTATTTTTAGTAGAGACGGGGTTTCAGTATCTTGGCCAGGCTGGTCTCGAACTCCTGACCTCAGATGATCCACCTGCCTAGGCCTCCCAAAGCGTTGGGATTACAGGTGTGAGGCACCATGCCTGGCCTAAGTTGTTACTTTTATAGCAATAATTATTTATTATTTATTTATGTCTGATGGTCAGCTCTAAATTGTTACAGAATTTATTTGGAAAGGAGTTCAACTGACTTCATGTTAACTTCTGTGTTTACTTTTCTAGCAAGGGAAATAATTCGCTACCAGCTTTTGCTAGACATGCTTTACAAAATTTACCTGAATGAAAAGCATCAACACCCAACTATGCTGGTATTTACAGAGTGACAAAAGACAGAAATTTATCAGTATCTATGGTGAAGAGGGGGAAGTAGCTAATAATTCCATCATGAGATACTACCGCAGAAATATTAATAGCTAAATAGTTAAAAGCTAATAGCTAACAAGTCTGAAAATAAGTAAAAACAATCCTATATTGTCATTATATTAGCATGACTATTATATATTATTTAAAAAAAACTTAATTGTAGGGAAATGTTTAACAGAACTCACAGATACCAGCATAGAATAAATTCTTTTTCGGAATCATGTATTTCACAGAAGGCTTACATTCTCCTATCTGGAAAGAATGAAGACCTTTATCTCTTCCTAGCAAGCAACCTTCAAACTAGGCTTGAGATTTTTACATGTCATTCCTGTGACATTTCTGTGACATAAAAAATTCAGGCGCTTTGCCTCATCTGTGAGGATTATGGCTAAGAACTTAGGTAATTTTCACTGTTTCTAGAGTTTACTAAAGAATACTATACCATAGACAGAAGCATAACTTTAAATACTGGGTCTATGTATATCCTATTGAATGCAATTTAGCAATTCAGACCTCTCTTATGACTTCCAGACTCATAACCAAATTCTACTCCATATCTATATTTGAATTAAGATTATCTCAAATTTAAATGTAAAACCAAACTCCTAATCTTCCCTTTCAAACTTTTTCTTCCTAAGTCTCCCTTTTCCAGTTGTTTAAGTCAAAAACCTTGGAGTCACCGTGCACTCTTCCCTTTATTTCTACCTTCACTTTCAAACTACCAGCAAACCCAGTGATCTCCACATTCAAAATATAACTAATATTTAACCACTTCTTGGTGCTATAAACCTGGTTCAAGCCTCCATCATTTCTTGCTTGGATCATTACTCTGCTAAAAACCCTCCAAAGGCTTTCCATCACATTCAGAATAAAAGCTACTGTTGGCAGGGCGCGGTGGCTCACGAATGTAATCCCAGTACTTTGGGAGGCCGAGGCGGGTGGATCACGAGGTCAAGAGATAGAGACCATCCTGGTCAACATGGTGAAACCCCGTCTCTACTAAAAATACAAAAAATCAGCTGGGCATGGTGGCGCATGCCTGTAATCCCAGCTACTCAGGAGGCTGAGGCAGGAGAATTGCCTGAACCCAGGACGCAGAGGTTGCGGTGAGCCGAGATTGCGCCATTGCACTCCAGCCTGGGTAACAAGAGTGAAACTCCGTCTCAAAAACAAACAAACAAACAAACAAAAGCTACTGTCAGGGGTCTCCAGACTTACTACTACTTGTATTTCATTCCTTACTACTCTTTCCCTCCCTCCCTTGCAAGCTTCCTGATCTCTTCATTGTTTCTCAACCTCACAGACTTTACATTTGCTTTTCTTTCCATTGAATACACTTTCCCCAGTTTTCTACATGGTTCACTTCCTGAACTTCTAGTCTTTCCTCAAATGTCACCTCAGGCTTTATCGTCCCATTTCAGAATGAACTTCCCTCTCAACAGCCTATAACTCCTCATTTCCCTTTTCTATTAGATTTTGTCCTTAGTTCATGTCACCACTTAACATACTGTATGTTTTTCTAGTTTGCTTTGTTTATTGCTTGTCTCTCTCTCTTATTAGACCTAACGCATGTCCACGAAGGCAGAGATTTCTGTTGTTTTGTTAAAATTTATTATTATTCCACAGTAAATATTTATCTCCATTTCTGTAATGCAGGATAGGAATATGCCTATTTAAGGAAAACAAACATTGCTCAAGGATCTAAAGACATGCACATCCTTACAGAGAAACAAAGAAAAGGAAGATAACATTTAGTGAGCACCTACTACGTGCTAGGCAATCTGCTGATTAGTGACATACTATTTAATTCTCACATCTATCATGGGCTTTGTGAATTCTCTCAATGTAACAAATGAGAAACTGAGGCTCACAGAGATTAAATAAATCTAGTAAGATCTGACTCTAGCACATCATGTTGGAAAAGCTATTTAGCAAACCTCAAACACTCCAATCAGTAAAACCCATATGCTTGTTCTTTCTTTAAAGAAATATTCATTCATATGATGGTATGTGTATGTTTAATAATAACCTCAAAATAGGTACTGGCTTATTCAAATAACCTTTTAGAAAATGATAAAGAAAGGTTTAAGAAAAATTAGTATTCTTTAGCAAACTCTAGAAACAGTGAAAATTATAAATTCTTAGCTCTAATCCTTGCAGATGAGGTAAAGCACCTGAATTTTTTATGTCATAGTAATATCACAGGAATGAAATCTAAAAATCTCAAGTTCTGTTTAGCAGTTGTTTGGTAGGAAGTCTTTGAGCATTTCCTGATACAGGAAACAAAACTGTCAATTTTCCCAAGGCTGTTCTTTCAATTTATGGCTATGGCTGTGGTGGTGTTGCATCTGTCAAGTTTCAGACAGACTAGTCAAAGAGGCAACAACTTTTAAGATACACCCTAGAACCCACATCAGTAGTTACTCAATTAGCAGAAAGCTAGCAAAGACAGTCATAAAATTAAAAAAAAAAAAACTGAACTTCAAACATTCAAATTTATTAAATACACATGCACACACACTCTCTCTCTCTCTCTCTCTCTACCTGAAGAATGAATGGCTTTGCTCCTTTTCTGCATCACTTCCATTAATGCACCCACAATTCCTGAAGTGGGTGCAGGTGTTGGTGGTGTAGACTCTTGGCCATCAGACACCTTGGAAAATAAAGTTAGCAAAACTCAGTAATAAATCTTTGGCAAAGAATCTTTGTCTCCAGAAAGTCTTACTTTCTTAGAATCACTTTTTAATCATAAAAGACAAAAAAGATATCAAACTAGCAAGCCCAGGACAAGATTAATTAAATTAACAAGAAACAAAGTGCTGCCTTGAAGATATTATTTAAAAATATTTCCTTTCCATCTTAATGTATAAGCCAACAATGCATTTCCAAATCTATGTTTATATTTAGATAACAAACCCTTTCTTGAATAATACTTGCTGGGTTACCTCTGTTTATCACAGCACATAAAGACTTAGATGATCAGCTTTAAAGCTATTATCAAGGGAACTCATTTTATAAAGGGTAATATGTGGAAAGTACACTAGAGATACTGAAAAACAACTGTGGAAACTTATGTTTGCCTACAAAAAAATCAGCTTTACACCTTTATGTTATATTTATACCTTCAAAATATATACTCTTTTCTCATAGTATATAATTTCTTTTTAGGAGATGAACTGAGCAGCTTTCAAAATATATCTGCCTCACTAGGCAACTAACAGTCCCTAACTTAGCTGTGCCAAAGTGCATTAAAGAAAAAAGAATTATAATTACAGATGAAATAGTATAGCTGTAACTAAATGATTACCTATGTTTTATATGTTTTTACATATATTTCAAAACTTTTATATATATTTGAAATTCTTAATCATTTCTCAAAGACAATTCAACTTTTCATTTTGATCTGTACAACTCTTCCTCTAATACTTCTTGTTCTTTCTGGACTAAACACCTTTTTTAAAAAAAATTCAAAGTGGCTCCCCCTAAGATACTGATTCTACGCTTAGTATTTTGGATTTAAATACTATGTATTAACTATTTCTCGTACAGAGGTACCACAAATGAAAAAGATAACAGTTTCAGAGCTTTGTATTTCTGCACAAGGCTCTCGAAGTACAACAGCAGTAGGGACATTTAGACTACCTTTAAGCAATGGGATAATGTAAAGCAGAGAGCACATAGCAGAGGTGAGCACATCTCATCAAACATATTTTTTGAAGTACTTACTTGAACAGGGTACTATTTGAGGTCTGAAACCAGGGAATTTAAAACATATGTGAGTACTTAATGCTTCCTACTAGCTCTTTAATCTATGTTTTATGTTAATCATATTCATCACAGAATAAATTGACGACTTACTTAATGGAAACATAGCCATAGAAATTTCAACCACAAAATGGTCTTTATAAAAAAAATTATGAACTCAGAGTAAATGTATAACATGCCAGTGGTTCACTGATATGCACTCTATGGCTGCACTAAATGCAATCAAAAGGAAGGTGATTATTTAGGATAAAAACGGCCCCCTATCCAATATGTAAGAATAGAAAATATTTTTCTTTCTAAAAGATATTAACAGGGTTTTTTTGGGAAAGAAAGAAAGCATTGGGATTGGAGAAAGTTATGGAGAAAGTAAATAGAAAATTTAACTTTAACTTTTCAAAATAAATGATACAACTTTGTTCATTAAAAATTTAAAATCACCTTATTATAGCTAAATGAGAGAAAGAAATGAAGTTGGTTGTGAAAAGGGAAAACAAAAAGTGGAAGACATAGGAATGAGAGTGACATAGGAACTAGCACAGATTCCAAGGTAAAAGCTGGGCTGTGGTCATTTTTTGTTTGTTTGTTTGAGACTGAGTCTCACTCCGTCACCTAGGCTGGAGTGCAGTGGATCTTGGCTCACTGCAACCTCCACCTCCCGGGTTCAAGCAATTCTCCTGCCTCAACCTCCCGAGTAGCTGGGACTACAGGTGTGTGCCACCATGCCGGGCTAATTTTTTGTATTTTTAGTAGGGACGGGGTTTCACCATGTTAGCCAGGATGGTCTTGATCTCCTGACCTCGTGATAGGCCCGCCTCAGCCTCCCAAAGAGCTGGGATTACAGGCATGAGCCACCACACCCAGCTGGCTGTGGTCATTTTGACATTAATTCTCCCCACTAACCACTCTTTAAAGTTCGTCAACTGCTTCTGAGAGATCTTTAGTCTGATCTAAATGGGGAAAGAGAACAGAGATGATAGTTTATAGATTTATTTATCTGTCATCCTGAATATATGCAAATAAAAGATCTAAACATATTTTAAAGAACAGAGTCTTCTTAAATCTATGCTTATGTTTACATGTTTTCATTCAATTAGTGTGTTTCCTATCTATCACTCTCCTTTTAGACAAAGCTTCTGAGATCTAGAAAGTTACTTTAATCCCTACACCGGAAAATAATTTTCTATTAAAACGTCCTCTGTGATCTCCATTTACTTCACAGAAAAATCTATCGTCCATGACCTGCCTGAAGTCCTGGAGAACATGTTATAAAAGACTTCAAAGTAAGTATGTAAATGTAGACAGGTTAGGCTATAGGATGGGTAGGAGTCAGCAAACTGGAGCCCATGGGACAAATCCAGCCTGTTCTTTGACTTTTTTTTTTAAACGATCTAAAAACTAAGCTTGAATTTACATTTTAAAATGGTTCAAAGAAAATAAAAAGACTACTTTTTATATGTGAAAGTTATATAAAATTCAAATTTCAGTATCCAAATACAGTTTTATAGAACACAAGCATGTCCATTCATTTACGTACTGGCTGTGATGCTTCTGTGGTAAAACACCAGAGTGGTCATGACAAGAGGCCACATTGCCTATATAAGCCTACATTTTTACTACCTGATCCTTTACAGAAAAACGTTTGCTGAACTCTAGAAGATTAAATGACCTGTAAGATTAAATGGTTATCTCATCCAAATCAGATAATCCCAAATTTATTTGCCATCACTGTCAGAAATTCTGTTAAAACTCTTTCAATTTCTGTGAGTCTGATTCTCTACTAATTTAAATTTCAGAACATGAAAACTTCAGAACATGATCACTGGTTTAGATGTCCTAAAGTGATCGCAATTGGTTTCAAGTAGGGCTATTTTTAATTCTCAGAGCTTAATAAGGATTTTTCTTTAAAGTACCTTTTATTAGAAAGTAAAGTCTAGAACAATGAATTGCAAACATACTATAAAATTCCATTCATATGAAGTTCCAGAATAGGCAAAACTAATCTATATTTAGATCGGTGATTGTTTATGGAAAAATTAACTGGGAAGAGGCATGAGAAAACCTTCCAGGGTGATAGAAATGTCCTACATTTGGATTTAGAGATATGGGTTACATGGCTATAGAGATGTATCAAAGCTGAACTAAAAATTTATGCATGTCATTGCATGTAAAAATATTTTCAAATTTATAGTGTTAAGAGTAAATTAGTAAGAGAAAAATAAAGTATAAACTTTTCAAAAGTGTCTTTCAATAAACTACTTTAAAATTCCATTATCATAGATGATCTAAAATGAAAAAAAAAAAGAAAAAAAAAAAAAGCTTACTTACAGACTTTAGTTGGATACCCTGTCGTATCTGGTCTAACAGTGCATCTCGTCCAGAGCAGGACACTGGCCGACTGTTCTGCTCCACTTTTTTTAGCTGAGCACCCTCTCTAATTTGATCTAAAAGAGCTGCTTTGTTTCCTGCAGTAGTTGGAACCTGATGGTCCCCGTCAGAAGAAAGGCCAAGGCCAGTGAGGGGCGGTGGCCCAGGTGGAGGTGGAGGTGGAGGTGGTGGGGGTGGTGCCACTGGCCCTACCCCCAACACAGATGGAGGTGGTGGTGGAGGCCCTGAAGGTGCTGAGGAGGGAAGGGCTGGAGGCGGAGGAGGGTACATCCTATTTGGCGGTGGTGGAGGGACTGCTACACTTGGCCTGGAAGGAGGCGGTGGTGGAGGTGCAGCTGTGGGAGCTCTTGAAGGCGGTGGGGGAGGAGCGCCTCTTCCCCTGGCAGGAGGAGGAGGAGGACCTGAGTTGTGCGGAGGGGGAGGGGGAGGCGGTGGCCCTCCCCTTGATGGTGGTGGAGGTGGTGGTGCTGAAATGCAAACAGAAAAAAAGAAGACATGCACTTTTCTTCTCTCAAATATCACACTGAAAAGCAATTCATTTTAACATGTGTAAAAAACAAATAATATCATAAAAGGGCCTCATCTTCACATTTTATTTTACAAAGATACTCGAGCACAGATGATCTCACAATTTTATTTGAGAATTGTCGGCCTAAAGATCACTTCCTTATTGTTTCTTAAAAAAATATGAGCTAAAATAGAACAGTTTGCTTTTTAGGAATCAGAATCAGTTCTGAAGGAGAATAAACACTTTCTACTTTACAAACTAATAATGAAAATATACCAATGAAATTAAACATTTTGTTAATCAGCATTATTTTACATTTTAATAAAAATAAATGAATGCCACCCTCTTTAAAAAGAATCAAGTACACTTAGTTTTTTTAAATAAAATCAATTCACATTTAGAATTACATAGTGTAGCATAACTTAATAGCATTCATTCACATTAATCTGAGCTAAAGCCCAAATATAACGCTTTTCTTTCAAAATGTGAGCCTTTGTCATCTAATTTACATTTGTACTTTTATAGTATAATGTCTTAAAATAGTCGGCAATTCTAGTAATGGCACTATGGGAGGCTGGTTGCTTGGCTGAAATGCTCAATTGCTTATTCAAAAGACATGAACAGATAATTACCAAATTAACTGAGAATTTCTATATACTGCAAAATTAAAGTTATTAACAAAAATTACTATTATTCTAGTAGCAATGATATTAGCATTCTTAGCCTACAAAAGTAGAAATGTTAAGATAGAATAGGAAAACAAACTTGGCTGAGTGTGATGGCTCATGGCTGTAATCCCAGCACTTTGGGAGGCCAAAGAAGGAGGATCACTTGAGACCAAAAGTTTGAGACCAGACTGGCAAACAGGGCAAAACTCTGTTTCTATTAAAAATATGATAAGTAGTGGGGTGTGTGGTAGTGCATGTGCCTGTAATACCAGCTACTTGGATGGTTGAAGCATGAGAATCACCTGAACCCAGGAGGTGGTGGTTACAATGAGTCAAGATGGCACAACTGTACTCCAGCCTGGATGACAGAGCAAGACTGTGTCTCAAAAAAAAACTACAGAATTTGGAAATAGGTTTTTTGCAAAGTAAATTAGCATCATGCTAGTTTCAGTGGAATTAGCATTGTGTTTCCACAATACCAATTATGATCTTATGCTCATTTACATATTGGTTTCCATATGAGACTTAAGATTTTTGATGGCAGAAACCTTATCTTTACATCTAAATATCCTGAGACCAGTACTGGCATAATAATGTTTACAAACTATATGAGTCAATCAATGAATCAAAGATTAAATGAACATTGGCAGTGAAAAAGACACAAGTAAACCAAATGTCTAATTTAAAATGACAGTTAAGTTGTTTAGAAAAATGTTTTAACTGGAGTTTTTACTCAACTACAATATTGTGAGTACGCAAAAACTAGGAAGAAAAAAAGAAAGCAGTCCTAAATGAATAAGATAGGAAAAAGATGACTGTTATATTGGAAAATTTATTTTATCTGCATTTTACTGTGATAATTATTAAGACAAAACTAAAATACAAGGTGCTTTAAAAGAAATATCAAATCTTAAAAGGTTGTAAATTGTGCTCCCAGGTACACAAGAAAATTATATACTTTATCCAAGAAAAAGAATTTGCATTTCAAAATTAATTGATTTATATTATTTATATTCTGAAAATGTTTATACTACTAATTAGAAAGTAATTATATTTAAATTATTCCTTCTGAATTACAATAAAATCTGGTGGTTTACAGTATTCCTTAAATAAAACATTTAGGCAACTATAAGTTTTTACTTTAAAATAGAAAAGCTGGAAGATTTTGTATGGATTTTTTATAAATACTTAATAAACAAAATCTTACAAATTTTTTTAGTTATAATAAAATAATGTTAAGACATAGTATGATGGGCCAACCAGTTTTTCATAAACTTAAACATTCTGCTCAAGGAAGGGTTCACATGTATGAATGTACCTGTTTTCCATGAAACCGACCTCAAAAGATTAAAAAAAAACCAAATAGAATGCTGAATAGAAATGTAAGTTACCTTGCCTTCGCAGTTCATTTTTAACAGCTTCAACGCCTCCTGTTTTTTCAATAAAGTCATATATAACTTTTGATGTTTCTCTGTCTTTAAGTTGTGCCTCTGAGATTCCACACATATCGAAAAGATTTTTCAATTCTGGATCCAAATTATTCAACTACAAAAGAAGGTAACTGCTAAGTATAAAAATATATCTCAATTTTAAAAAAACATAATTTTAAGGCTCACCTGTGTCCTCATGAAATTATTTTACCTTCATAAACTTTTAACATTACTTACATGCTAACTAAAAGATCTTATTTAGAAAAACTGAACAGATAGATTTCCTATTTTGTTCTTTTTTGTTCCTCTGCCTTCAAAAAAGGGCATCTCATTTAGATTTCTATTAGCCTATTCGTAATTCAGACATCTCCAATGCTCATATATTCCACCTTGTCCTAAGTAAGTATGTAAAATTAGGAATAAACACAAAAAAAGTAAATTAGTTAGAAAATCTGAGAGCAAGGATCTTCCTGTAATTCCAAGCACCTTGCACAATGCCCAGCACAAAGAGGTGCTCAGTATGTTTGCAGAGTTAACATTGTAGCTATAACAAAAATAACCAAAAGGACTTTTTACTCCAATGACAAAACAAATTTCTCTTTAAAATAATTTCTCCAAACTGATTAATTTTTGCCAGCAGTTTCATAGCACTATAAAACAATGGCAAAACTGCCAAAAAGAATAGGAGAATGAAAAAACTAAATAATTCAACAACTGAATATTCAGAATTAGATTATACTCCTTTCTAGTAATTTGGTATACATTCCCCTGAAGTTATTACTTAGCAGAAATGATTTTCTGCTCTTGGCTTTCAAAGCACAAGGATTTTATTTATACAGTGTATAAAGCCAAGGTACACAAAACCTTGGTCTAAGTCTTTATAGAGACTTAGCCATGAATGATATAACAATAATATGGGTTGTATATATACACAAAACACAAGCACATTCAAATAGATACTAGAAACCCCAAAACAAATAATAAAAATAAAAATCTAGGCCAATATATCTCCACATATTTAGAGTTATAATGTATATGATTTGAAAACATACTTACATCAAAGCCTGTATTTGGATCCCAACCAACATGTCCAATGTGCCTAAAGTAGAAAATAGAAAAAATTAGAAAAATAAAATTCACAAAGGGCATTATAAATACAATATATATGAAATTCAATCTATAAAGCTTTGAATTTTTGGTCTGAACTAATAGTTCTCACAAATATAACCATATTATGATAAAAACTATGTACAAGGAGTCAGAAGAACAGGATGCTAGCCCTGACTCTGCCAATAACTGAAACCTAAAATTTTTGGACAAAAATCTCTGAGCACCTATTTCCTTAACTGTCAAATTAGCATACGAGTCCAAGCACTATACATATGAGAGGATGGGGGTTTCATAATGAGCAAATAAAATAATGCATATTGAACTTCTTGAAATATATTATATAAATACCAGAGGTTTTTACTGCCCCTAGGCAGTAGTACATGTAGACAATTTCTAAGTGGTATTTATAGAGCAAAGTGAGAAATCATTCTTATGTCCAACAATTAGCTGAAGAAACAACTTCATCAAATTTTTCTTTTCTGATAGTTGAAAAAGTAAATAAACTGTAAGGTACAACGAACGTCTATCGAGCAACTGCCTTAAAACACACGCACACAAAAATGCTAACCAAATGCATAGCTAAAAAGGTATTCAAGTGATGAATATACGTACCCTCCCAAGAGGAAAAGAAAATCTTTTAACAAGTTAAAAATCAAGAGCAGCAATGAATATCAGAAGTGAAGATAAGAGTAAAAGAACTGTCTTACTGGAAATTGCTTGGTGTTCCTATATCTGCCTTGGTTAATCTCTTCTTTTTAGCTTTTCCTTTCTTTTTTTCTTTGGTATGGGAGATGTTGTTAACTTGTGGACCATAAAATCTATTTGTTGTGATTTCTGGATTTTTTATGTCAACTGTAGCCATGGGTAGATTAGGACCTGCAAATAAAACCAAAATAATATGAAAGGGATATAATTTAAGATAACAATTATATCTAACCACAATTTAGAATGTAAATATATTTCCTAAAGTAGGATTACTTTATTATAAATTATTTCTATTTTAAACTTGCACATTAATTTTTTCATAAAGTGCTGCCTAAATTTCTAAAACCTGTAAGTTCCTAAAGAAATTAATGTAGATGCACTATTTTAAAACAAACTTACATTTTTATAACATTAAATTTCATAAAGAACATGAACTTCCAGCTAGAATTTAAATATAATTAGTCTGATCACTTAAATTTTGATTATAATAGCCTCATACCCAACACATTGCTCAACGGTTAAGTGAAACATATCTCATAACAAGGATGAAAAAAGTAAAATATGTATCTACTTTGTTTTAAATTTAACAAAGAAATACAGGCTTAACTCTTTTCTTCAACTTGATTAGTCAAGAGGAAAAAGGGTACTTATACAAAATTATTACCATTTTTTCCAAAACTGGCATACTTAAGTTTAATGATATTTTCCCCACCAGTATGAATACACCTTGACTACCAGAAGTACAGAATTTAAAAACTTAAAAATGCAAACATTCTTAAAGCACTCATCTTGTGCAAGAATCAACAGTAAAAATATCAAAGGCACCTTTCCATATTATTAATAGTATCTCAGAAGTGGTACTAAATGTAGCACAAAACTTGTCTTACAATTAAAAATAAAATTCTTGATCTTAAAAGTATGAAAGTCTGTATGCAAAGCATTCAACTGAAAAATTTCTTAAAAATTCAACTAAAGGGCAACACATGTTCCTTAAAGATCCTATTTTTATATATGATTCTCTGACAAATCCTCTGATGAGACCAAGTTCCTCTGAGGTGACTACATTAAGGACAACTTCCAAAATGTATGAAGTACTAACATCGTTGTGCAGAAAAGAGTTTAACACAGCACACTTGAGACTGCTCTTCTTAGAAAGGGTCACCTGCAAGGCTGGCCCTCAGCTGACCCATTTGGGAACTTGGATAGGGTTCCCACTATTCCCTGATGAGGTGGGCTTATTGTGCTTAAATTGTTTGTGCTAACAATGCAGTTTATGTTGAACATCAACTTTCCTTCTGGGAGTCTGGAATCTTGGTAACTGCAAGATAGGGGATATCTATGTAACTAGTCCCCAACAAAAACCCTGGGCACCACGTCTCAAACAAACTTTTCCTTTAGACAAGATTTCACATGTTGTCACAATTAATTATTGGAGGAATTAGGTGCAACATCTGTTACTTCACCTTCATCCCATGTGTCTTTCCCTTTGCTGATTTTGTTTTATATTTTTTCACTGTAATAAATCTTTGCCATGAGTATAACTATATATTGATTGAGTCCTGTAAGTCCTTCAGGTGAATCACCACTTCTGAGGATGGTCTTGGGGATCCCCAACATAATCAATAAATGGCAAATAGAACTCTCAAGGTTAATGTATATTAGGTGATCCTTAAATTCCAATTTGACTGTAATTCTTTAATTATGCCCCAAACCGCCAGTATATCCTACTTACTAAAATTATCTGGAAAAAAAATGTTCATTTACATGGGTAAACTGTATATAACCTATTTTTCCCCAACTCTACTATTAAAGACAAAACAGAGCTAAAACAAATTTATGAAAGCCATGTCACCTTATCAAAAAAGTAAATAATTTGGAAATTTAATATTACCAAAATTCAACTCTTACCTGTTAATAGTCAAACTCTATTTATATATAAATATAATACATAAATAATCCCAAAGTTTTATTTACAATTTCATTAAAAAATTCCATGGGAAGTTGCTGATAGTGATAAGAAATAATTTATTAGAAAAAAATGAAAGCTAGTGAATAATATGGATAAAATCATTAAAAGCTTTTTCATTGTCCAGGAATAATCTGAAAAATTAGATCAAGAAGTAACAGTGAGTTAAACAGTGCAGAATGACCTGAAAGGCTGATTAGGAGATTAGGATGTGAATTTTCAAAGGTGTTCAGGTATCAGATTTCAGCATTTACTGCAGTTTTACAAAATAAAGGACTTTCTGAGAATACCCAGAATGTGGGGGCTAGAAGGTTGAATTGGGGTTACACTCAGACCTTCACAGACTTATCTGGTGGTCTGCTTTAGCTTCTCATTCCTCCCTTTCTGACCTCTCTCTTCTTCTAACTTATCTTTACCAATCAGTATCAGCAACACTATCCACAATAAGGTGCTACAAATAACTTTTACCTTCTTATCTTTATATCTTAGTAAAATTTAAGAATTAAGACAGAATTTGGAATATTAGAATTAGGAACTCACTTTATTCATATGATCTTTCCTGAACTAAGTATTCAAACAGCAACTATAAAGAACAATCAGACTCACCAGTAAAACATAAAAGCAAAACACAAGAAAAATATTTTCTGCCACTTTAGCTTATGTAAAAGCCACCTATTTATTATACTATAGATGATTAACATGGAAACAGAGTTGCATAAAGTTAAGTTTAATGATTTAAATTATCCAAGCTAGTATATTTTGAAAGATAAGCTTCTTATAACCTTGATTTATAACTCACTAGAGAAAGTAATTCAGCTGTCTCTGAAGAAGATTCAAGAATATGGATAAGGACAAATATAAGTGTTCCGTGGAAGGAATAACTCCTACTGTAGTCAGACCCCTCTTCCCTCTACCCAAAAATCAGGCATGGACATACTGTTATGCATCAACATGATCTCTTTAAGTCATTATAGATGAATTTCATTAGTACTAGTTAAACATTGTTTAAGTCTATATAGAAATATCCAGATTACAGAGATAAATAGAAAATTAGTATTAAATGGAAAATTAGTTTCTTTTCAAAATCACCTTCCATTTTATTAATGAAAACGAAGGACAGTAAGAGTCAGGTGATCTTTATAAAGTCATACAATTAGTGACAGAAGAAAAGGTGTACTCCAGTATTTTGGTTCCTAGTCTACTACCCTTCCAATTAACTATTCTACCTCTTACATGAAAGTCAAACTACAAGGTGGATGACACTGCTAATTTTACAAATGCCATAATACATTATTTCTTTACCAATTTATCCGTTTTGTTGGTCTGTGGTCCAACAACTATTCAATAAATGTTTACTAACAACTTCCAGAATTTAGAAAAAATGGATTCCTACACATTCAAAAGTTTAGTTACCTGGTTATTTCTGTTGACAATAGTTATTTACTTTAGAGTTTGAAGATGTCAGGAAATAAGTTTAAAATGGTATTCTAAAGCCAAACTGAGTATCTGTTTCAAGTGACACACTAAAAAGAAGTGATAACCTATTTAAGGTAGAGAGCCATTTTTTAACGTAAAGGATATAAAAGATTTGGTAACAGATGTACACACCCAAGTCATTTCTAGTAAAGTTTAATTATTCCATTTATGAAATTATACTCATTCTAAGAACAATTACTATGTACACATATAATGAAGGGGGGCTGTTTTTCTTCTTTTTCAAAAAACAAATGACAAACTATCTCCTTCTGATTAAGGACAACCGTTGCAGGAAAAGGTTTTTAAATATTCTTGTGAACAGATATGTCTAGTTAATTTTGAATCTAAAAGAACTCAAGTTTCCCATTAATTAAATAAAAAGCAAAGAAGTCTCACCAACGTAAAACAATTGAAAAACAGGTGGCCTAGAGGCCTCGGATATCAAGGCAGTCATGAAGCTGAAAATAAATCATTGGAAAGTATATATGCTAAAATGTGAGACTGACCAATAAAGAAATGAGTAAGTAAGAAAGATACTGAATTGCATTTTAGGAATGTATGTAAATTCTACGTAAAGTATCTTTTTAATAGTTAACAATTGGAAAAGGTCTGGTAAACTGATAATCTAAATAAGGATCTGGGACAAAGCACCTGTATAGCTACTGCAGGGCATGGTCCAGGGGACCACTGCCACCTAGCGGTGGTGCACCAAATACAGTAAAGTAATAATGCTGCCTCCTAAACAGTGGTCTCCATTTAGTGAGGAAAGCAAGATAGTATTTATTTTATTCTTTGTGTATATAACATGTTAATGCCATATTATATGAATATTTTGTAAGTATACAAGTATTGGTAATACATGCTGTATAATTTTTCCCTTTAACAACACTATTTAAAAAAACTCTCCATTTATTTAATGAGGTCTGAAACCACTGAACCAAATGATTAAAACTAAAGATTTAAAACCAGTAGCCAACTCAGAGAAAGAAACTACATTTAATTCTAAGTGGCTCTCTTACGGGGGCAACAAAATTATGAAAAAACACTGTTACATAAAGAATTTTTAAATTCTATCTATTCATGGAAACTACGTGCCTCTTCAGAAATTCATTTTATAAACGATTTGGGGAAATAGTACAGTCAGTCCTCCATATTCACAGTTCCATATCCATGAGTTCCACATCCACAGATTTGACCAACTGGGATCAAAAAAAAAAAATAAAAATGGATGGGCGCCTCTGTTCCGGACATGTACAGATCTTTCTTGTTTGCTATTATTCCCCAGACAATACAGTATAACAACTATTTACCCAGCACTGCTTCTCAGTCTTTTGGCTAAGATGAAATATATCTAGCATGTATTTACATTGTTTTAGGAATTATGAGTCATCTAGAGAGGATCTGAAGCATACAGGAGAATGTGTGGTTATATGCAAATACTATGTCATTTTGTATCACAGACTTGAGTGTCTGTAAAGTTTTGTATCCATGGGGCGGTGGATCCTGGAACTGATCCAACATGGATACGTGTATTTACAACCTTAATCCTATTATTTCTAGAGCATCTACACTTTAAAATCTGGGGTACTTTCTCCAGAGTGTTTGAATAGCACAACTAGAAAGTCTTCTTTGTTGGTACTCAACACTGTATATACTCTCCAAGCTCAATATAACAAATTCAAAAAGGTACTGGGCTTACATCAAGGAAAATTTCTAATACTACATTAAAAGTTCACAGATGAACAACTTGTAACTCAGCTGCTTCTGTTTCTTTTGCCTCTGCCATGTACTAGTTTATATATCCTGAGACATGATATTTACCCTGTGTCTCAGTTTTGCCTTCAAAATCATCTTGACATAACAGTGGTTAAGGAGCCAGGCTCTAGAGTCAAATCATCTGATGCTGAATCTTGCTTCACTACTTACTAGTTATGAGACCATGAGGAAGTTACCTATATGTGCCTCAGTTTCCTTATCTATAAAAGAGAGATAATAGAGCTACTTCAGGTTTCTGAACAGTGCCTGGCAAGTAGTAAAAGATCATTAAACAGTAGTTGCTATTATTATTGTCATTACCTTCATCAGGATAACCAACATTTATTAAGCATTATGCTAAGTTTTGATTGCCTCAATTCCCACAGCAGCCCTAAATTTCTATTCAAAAGAGAAAGTGAAACTATACAATATTTGGTACCTGTTAAGCACTACTGAAGTAGTCATGCATTTAAAAAAACTAATACGGTAAATAACCCAAAATTTAATACAGCAACATCTGGCTCATGTTTCTACATCAGGAAAAGTAATTTGAGGACAAAATCAAAAGGCAACATATCTTTAAAAGAAACAATCACTAACAGCTATCATATATTAAGAACTCTGTATGTAAGTGTTCCTTGAATTCATTCTAGGTTCTGATAAGAAGCAGGTATTTTCTCTATTATAATGAAGGGTCATGGAGAATGTTCTTTACCTTCATAGCATCAGAGACCTCATTTAAATACAATGAAAGCCNCAAAACAAATAATAAAAATAAAAATCTAGGCCAATATATCTCCACATATTTAGAGTTATAATGTATATGATTTGAAAACATACTTACATCAAAGCCTGTATTTGGATCCCAACCAACATGTCCAATGTGCCTAAAGTAGAAAATAGAAAAAATTAGAAAAATAAAATTCACAAAGGGCATTATAAATACAATATATATGAAATTCAATCTATAAAGCTTTGAATTTTTGGTCTGAACTAATAGTTCTCACAAATATAACCATATTATGATAAAAACTATGTACAAGGAGTCAGAAGAACAGGATGCTAGCCCTGACTCTGCCAATAACTGAAACCTAAAATTTTTGGACAAAAATCTCTGAGCACCTATTTCCTTAACTGTCAAATTAGCATACGAGTCCAAGCACTATACATATGAGAGGATGGGGGTTTCATAATGAGCAAATAAAATAATGCATATTGAACTTCTTGAAATATATTATATAAATACCAGAGGTTTTTACTGCCCCTAGGCAGTAGTACATGTAGACAATTTCTAAGTGGTATTTATAGAGCAAAGTGAGAAATCATTCTTATGTCCAACAATTAGCTGAAGAAACAACTTCATCAAATTTTTCTTTTCTGATAGTTGAAAAAGTAAATAAACTGTAAGGTACAACGAACGTCTATCGAGCAACTGCCTTAAAACACACGCACACAAAAATGCTAACCAAATGCATAGCTAAAAAGGTATTCAAGTGATGAATATACGTACCCTCCCAAGAGGAAAAGAAAATCTTTTAACAAGTTAAAAATCAAGAGCAGCAATGAATATCAGAAGTGAAGATAAGAGTAAAAGAACTGTCTTACTGGAAATTGCTTGGTGTTCCTATATCTGCCTTGGTTAATCTCTTCTTTTTAGCTTTTCCTTTCTTTTTTTCTTTGGTATGGGAGATGTTGTTAACTTGTGGACCATAAAATCTATTTGTTGTGATTTCTGGATTTTTTATGTCAACTGTAGCCATGGGTAGATTAGGACCTGCAAATAAAACCAAAATAATATGAAAGGGATATAATTTAAGATAACAATTATATCTAACCACAATTTAGAATGTAAATATATTTCCTAAAGTAGGATTACTTTATTATAAATTATTTCTATTTTAAACTTGCACATTAATTTTTTCATAAAGTGCTGCCTAAATTTCTAAAACCTGTAAGTTCCTAAAGAAATTAATGTAGATGCACTATTTTAAAACAAACTTACATTTTTATAACATTAAATTTCATAAAGAACATGAACTTCCAGCTAGAATTTAAATATAATTAGTCTGATCACTTAAATTTTGATTATAATAGCCTCATACCCAACACATTGCTCAACGGTTAAGTGAAACATATCTCATAACAAGGATGAAAAAAGTAAAATATGTATCTACTTTGTTTTAAATTTAACAAAGAAATACAGGCTTAACTCTTTTCTTCAACTTGATTAGTCAAGAGGAAAAAGGGTACTTATACAAAATTATTACCATTTTTTCCAAAACTGGCATACTTAAGTTTAATGATATTTTCCCCACCAGTATGAATACACCTTGACTACCAGAAGTACAGAATTTAAAAACTTAAAAATGCAAACATTCTTAAAGCACTCATCTTGTGCAAGAATCAACAGTAAAAATATCAAAGGCACCTTTCCATATTATTAATAGTATCTCAGAAGTGGTACTAAATGTAGCACAAAACTTGTCTTACAATTAAAAATAAAATTCTTGATCTTAAAAGTATGAAAGTCTGTATGCAAAGCATTCAACTGAAAAATTTCTTAAAAATTCAACTAAAGGGCAACACATGTTCCTTAAAGATCCTATTTTTATATATGATTCTCTGACAAATCCTCTGATGAGACCAAGTTCCTCTGAGGTGACTACATTAAGGACAACTTCCAAAATGTATGAAGTACTAACATCGTTGTGCAGAAAAGAGTTTAACACAGCACACTTGAGACTGCTCTTCTTAGAAAGGGTCACCTGCAAGGCTGGCCCTCAGCTGACCCATTTGGGAACTTGGATAGGGTTCCCACTATTCCCTGATGAGGTGGGCTTATTGTGCTTAAATTGTTTGTGCTAACAATGCAGTTTATGTTGAACATCAACTTTCCTTCTGGGAGTCTGGAATCTTGGTAACTGCAAGATAGGGGATATCTATGTAACTAGTCCCCAACAAAAACCCTGGGCACCACGTCTCAAACAAACTTTTCCTTTAGACAAGATTTCACATGTTGTCACAATTAATTATTGGAGGAATTAGGTGCAACATCTGTTACTTCACCTTCATCCCATGTGTCTTTCCCTTTGCTGATTTTGTTTTATATTTTTTCACTGTAATAAATGTTTGCCATGAGTATAACTATATATTGATTGAGTCCTGTAAGTCCTTCAGGTGAATCACCACTTCTGAGGATGGTCTTGGGGATCCCCAACATAATCAATAAATGGCAAATAGAACTCTCAAGGTTAATGTATATTAGGTGATCCTTAAATTCCAATTTGACTGTAATTCTTTAATTATGCCCCAAACCGCCAGTATATCCTACTTACTAAAATTATCTGGAAAAAAAATGTTCATTTACATGGGTAAACTGTATATAACCTATTTTTCCCCAACTCTACTATTAAAGACAAAACAGAGCTAAAACAAATTTATGAAAGCCATGTCACCTTATCAAAAAAGTAAATAATTTGGAAATTTAATATTACCAAAATTCAACTCTTACCTGTTAATAGTCAAACTCTATTTATATATAAATATAATACATAAATAATCCCAAAGTTTTATTTACAATTTCATTAAAAAATTCCATGGGAAGTTGCTGATAGTGATAAGAAATAATTTATTAGAAAAAAATGAAAGCTAGTGAATAATATGGATAAAATCATTAAAAGCTTTTTCATTGTCCAGGAATAATCTGAAAAATTAGATCAAGAAGTAACAGTGAGTTAAACAGTGCAGAATGACCTGAAAGGCTGATTAGGAGATTAGGATGTGAATTTTCAAAGGTGTTCAGGTATCAGATTTCAGCATTTACTGCAGTTTTACAAAATAAAGGACTTTCTGAGAATACCCAGAATGTGGGGGCTAGAAGGTTGAATTGGGGTTACACTCAGACCTTCACAGACTTATCTGGTGGTCTGCTTTAGCTTCTCATTCCTCCCTTTCTGACCTCTCTCTTCTTCTAACTTATCTTTACCAATCAGTATCAGCAACACTATCCACAATAAGGTGCTACAAATAACTTTTACCTTCTTATCTTTATATCTTAGTAAAATTTAAGAATTAAGACAGAATTTGGAATATTAGAATTAGGAACTCACTTTATTCATATGATCTTTCCTGAACTAAGTATTCAAACAGCAACTATAAAGAACAATCAGACTCACCAGTAAAACATAAAAGCAAAACACAAGAAAAATATTTTCTGCCACTTTAGCTTATGTAAAAGCCACCTATTTATTATACTATAGATGATTAACATGGAAACAGAGTTGCATAAAGTTAAGTTTAATGATTTAAATTATCCAAGCTAGTATATTTTGAAAGATAAGCTTCTTATAACCTTGATTTATAACTCACTAGAGAAAGTAATTCAGCTGTCTCTGAAGAAGATTCAAGAATATGGATAAGGACAAATATAAGTGTTCCGTGGAAGGAATAACTCCTACTGTAGTCAGACCCCTCTTCCCTCTACCCAAAAATCAGGCATGGACATACTGTTATGCATCAACATGATCTCTTTAAGTCATTATAGATGAATTTCATTAGTACTAGTTAAACATTGTTTAAGTCTATATAGAAATATCCAGATTACAGAGATAAATAGAAAATTAGTATTAAATGGAAAATTAGTTTCTTTTCAAAATCACCTTCCATTTTATTAATGAAAACGAAGGACAGTAAGAGTCAGGTGATCTTTATAAAGTCATACAATTAGTGACAGAAGAAAAGGTGTACTCCAGTATTTTGGTTCCTAGTCTACTACCCTTCCAATTAACTATTCTACCTCTTACATGAAAGTCAAACTACAAGGTGGATGACACTGCTAATTTTACAAATGCCATAATACATTATTTCTTTACCAATTTATCCGTTTTGTTGGTCTGTGGTCCAACAACTATTCAATAAATGTTTACTAACAACTTCCAGAATTTAGAAAAAATGGATTCCTACACATTCAAAAGTTTAGTTACCTGGTTATTTCTGTTGACAATAGTTATTTACTTTAGAGTTTGAAGATGTCAGGAAATAAGTTTAAAATGGTATTCTAAAGCCAAACTGAGTATCTGTTTCAAGTGACACACTAAAAAGAAGTGATAACCTATTTAAGGTAGAGAGCCATTTTTTAACGTAAAGGATATAAAAGATTTGGTAACAGATGTACACACCCAAGTCATTTCTAGTAAAGTTTAATTATTCCATTTATGAAATTATACTCATTCTAAGAACAATTACTATGTACACATATAATGAAGGGGGGCTGTTTTTCTTCTTTTTCAAAAAACAAATGACAAACTATCTCCTTCTGATTAAGGACAACCGTTGCAGGAAAAGGTTTTTAAATATTCTTGTGAACAGATATGTCTAGTTAATTTTGAATCTAAAAGAACTCAAGTTTCCCATTAATTAAATAAAAAGCAAAGAAGTCTCACCAACGTAAAACAATTGAAAAACAGGTGGCCTAGAGGCCTCGGATATCAAGGCAGTCATGAAGCTGAAAATAAATCATTGGAAAGTATATATGCTAAAATGTGAGACTGACCAATAAAGAAATGAGTAAGTAAGAAAGATACTGAATTGCATTTTAGGAATGTATGTAAATTCTACGTAAAGTATCTTTTTAATAGTTAACAATTGGAAAAGGTCTGGTAAACTGATAATCTAAATAAGGATCTGGGACAAAGCACCTGTATAGCTACTGCAGGGCATGGTCCAGGGGACCACTGCCACCTAGCGGTGGTGCACCAAATACAGTAAAGTAATAATGCTGCCTCCTAAACAGTGGTCTCCATTTAGTGAGGAAAGCAAGATAGTATTTATTTTATTCTTTGTGTATATAACATGTTAATGCCATATTATATGAATATTTTGTAAGTATACAAGTATTGGTAATACATGCTGTATAATTTTTCCCTTTAACAACACTATTTAAAAAAACTCTCCATTTATTTAATGAGGTCTGAAACCACTGAACCAAATGATTAAAACTAAAGATTTAAAACCAGTAGCCAACTCAGAGAAAGAAACTACATTTAATTCTAAGTGGCTCTCTTACGGGGGCAACAAAATTATGAAAAAACACTGTTACATAAAGAATTTTTAAATTCTATCTATTCATGGAAACTACGTGCCTCTTCAGAAATTCATTTTATAAACGATTTGGGGAAATAGTACAGTCAGTCCTCCATATTCACAGTTCCATATCCATGAGTTCCACATCCACAGATTTGACCAACTGGGATCAAAAAAAAAAAATAAAAATGGATGGGCGCCTCTGTTCCGGACATGTACAGATCTTTCTTGTTTGCTATTATTCCCCAGACAATACAGTATAACAACTATTTACCCAGCACTGCTTCTCAGTCTTTTGGCTAAGATGAAATATATCTAGCATGTATTTACATTGTTTTAGGAATTATGAGTCATCTAGAGAGGATCTGAAGCATACAGGAGAATGTGTGGTTATATGCAAATACTATGTCATTTTGTATCACAGACTTGAGTGTCTGTAAAGTTTTGTATCCATGGGGCGGTGGATCCTGGAACTGATCCAACATGGATACGTGTATTTACAACCTTAATCCTATTATTTCTAGAGCATCTACACTTTAAAATCTGGGGTACTTTCTCCAGAGTGTTTGAATAGCACAACTAGAAAGTCTTCTTTGTTGGTACTCAACACTGTATATACTCTCCAAGCTCAATATAACAAATTCAAAAAGGTACTGGGCTTACATCAAGGAAAATTTCTAATACTACATTAAAAGTTCACAGATGAACAACTTGTAACTCAGCTGCTTCTGTTTCTTTTGCCTCTGCCATGTACTAGTTTATATATCCTGAGACATGATATTTACCCTGTGTCTCAGTTTTGCCTTCAAAATCATCTTGACATAACAGTGGTTAAGGAGCCAGGCTCTAGAGTCAAATCATCTGATGCTGAATCTTGCTTCACTACTTACTAGTTATGAGACCATGAGGAAGTTACCTATATGTGCCTCAGTTTCCTTATCTATAAAAGAGAGATAATAGAGCTACTTCAGGTTTCTGAACAGTGCCTGGCAAGTAGTAAAAGATCATTAAACAGTAGTTGCTATTATTATTGTCATTACCTTCATCAGGATAACCAACATTTATTAAGCATTATGCTAAGTTTTGATTGCCTCAATTCCCACAGCAGCCCTAAATTTCTATTCAAAAGAGAAAGTGAAACTATACAATATTTGGTACCTGTTAAGCACTACTGAAGTAGTCATGCATTTAAAAAAACTAATACGGTAAATAACCCAAAATTTAATACAGCAACATCTGGCTCATGTTTCTACATCAGGAAAAGTAATTTGAGGACAAAATCAAAAGGCAACATATCTTTAAAAGAAACAATCACTAACAGCTATCATATATTAAGAACTCTGTATGTAAGTGTTCCTTGAATTCATTCTAGGTTCTGATAAGAGGATATGAGACAGGCTTTTAAAAAGAAGCAGGTATTTTCTCTATTATAATGAAGGGTCATGGAGAATGTTCTTTACCTTCATAGCATCAGAGACCTCATTTAAATACAATGAAAGCCATAGATCCTCTCTCTCCAGAGAAAAGAACATATTTGGCACATAATTTCAGGGAGTTTATGAAGTCTAGGGTAAGAGTTTCTACCCCTGAGACCTTATCTTTTACATCTTGGTATTCTGCTTTTACTCTCTGGTATTCAATATTTTTTTAAAAATGAATTCATAATACTTCAAGTGATATCAAATTAAAGAGCATTATATGCAGCCAAATTAGTTCTAAATATACTATAGCAGTAGGTGTTTATTCTGAAAGGGGCTTCATATAACACATAACCAGTGTGAAATAATATTTTGAGATAAGAATAAAGGAAAAATCTTAAAGTAGGAAATTAACAAATATGCTAGACAAAATGTACTGCCTCTGGGAAAAATTTTAAGGCCAGATTGTATACTTAGTCAAATGTGAATCCAGAATTAAGTATTAGTGATCTTCATCTTCACCCTAAGTATTCTTTCTTCATGTTAGAAAAATACGAAGAATATTGTTTCCTAAGTCTCATCTGTCAGTAATTAATGAAAAATGAGAACATAATAAACTGTATAATTTGATTATAGATACTGAATATAACTTACTAATGTATGGTACATGTTACCACAAGGATTAAACTGTAATCTAAAATCTTAAAAGATTAATAATTATCAAAAAGCTTACCATTTGGGGGGTCTCGTCTTTTCTCTGTTAGAAAATAAATTAGAAGAACGTTATTAAATATATGTAAGGCAACATCAACATAAAAAAAATAATTCACTTAAACTCTTATTCCTAAATTGATGTATGAGTGACAAAGGAAGGTTTTTCAGAAGACCTGACATTTAAGCAGAGATCTAAATAAAATAAGGAGGGAACCATATATTTAAAGGCCCCAAGGAGGGTGCAACATGAAAGAACCTCAGGAAGACTGGACTGGAGTGAGCAAGAGGCACAGTGAAAGGAGACAAGTCAGAAGGAAAGTTGGGGACTGGATCATACAGGGTTCCACTGGCTATGGTTAAGGACTACAGATTTTATGTGTATATGACAGGAAGTTCTTATAGAATCTTAAATAGAGAAAGTGATATAATCTAATCTACATTCCTAAAAGTTTACTCTGGCTACTGCATAGAAAAGAGATAGTGGTAAAAAGGATTGAGAAGCAGTCAGAGTGCTAGTGTGGCAGTCCAGCTGACAGATCAGGATGGTAGCAGAAAAAGTGGTAGGAAATAGTCAGATAAGACATGTTTTTGAAAGCAGAGCCAATAAGACTCTGATAGGATATTTATAAGGAACTATGGTGAGCCTGGGGGATAAGATGGAATAAATGCCTTTTACTGAGACAAGGAAAATTAGTAGAAGAACAATAACAGGTCTGAGTGGGTCTGGGGGTTCAGGATACAGGACATGGATCAAATATTCTGCTCACACATGTTAAGTCTAAAAGCTATTCTACCACCTAACTATTCTGAAGGTCAGAGACGCTGTGTCTATTGAAGACAAAACTTTGGGAATCATTAGCATACAGTTTTCAGAACTGTAAGACTGGATGAAAGCACAAAGGGAATGAGAATACTCAGGGAGCTCTGAGCACTGAGACAGACCAGAAAACTGCTGAAAGCTACAACTAATAAGGTAAGAGAAAAATCTGGGAAATTTCCATCAATTAATTGCATTCATACTCTTACATATCATGATTACATACCAGTATTGCATTCATACTCTTAATACCAAAACACTATTTGGTTTCAAGAAAGTTCAAAAGAAGAATTTTTAAAAATGTAATTTCCAAAGATTTTCTAACATAAAATTCACTGAAATTATATAAATAAATGATGCAATAAGATAATTAGCTTATAAATGACCATAAACCAAAATCAGTAGGATTTATTTAGTAAACAAGTTAAAAATCTTAGCAATGGGATATATAACTGTATTACTCTGATAATCTGATGAAACAGCTTTCTGAAACGTTTGAAGCAAGTCCTCTCTATATCAATACCTATTAATCACCAATTTCCAAGGTGATGTTATTTATGTACTCAGAGAGAAAATGTTTAAGCTGGCAGATGACACAAATAGGAAAATATACTAAGATAAATATAAAAGTTTAGAGTATACGTTCTAAGACACAGTTAGATACATGACACCATCCTACTTGAGGGCAATATATGTGAAAAAAAGGGGGGATGGTTGGTTGAACAAACCAGAATGGGGGCTAATGGTATAAGGCATTTGCTAGAAATGTTAGTAGAACTGTGTTTAATTAAATCAAGGGATGTATTGGTCAGACTACATATGGAGTACTGTGTTCAAATTTGTATACCATATTCTGAAAAAGACATCAAAGCTATAGTAGATTCAGAGCACAGTACTCAAGATGAAAAAGACTATAAACTATATTATAAGAATATTTCAAGAAAGTGGGACTGATTAGGCTAAATACGAGAAGAAAATAAGGAGGACAGGACAGTTGGCTTCCACTACTAAATGACTACTGTGAGGAAAATTAAATAGATGAATTCTTTGTTGCTCCACAAGCTGGACCCCATGTGTCTCAGTTAAAGAAAGGTAAAGATGGAGTTTGACTCAGTATGAAGGGCTACCCCAAAATAACTCAGCTGCTTTCCTAATGTTATCATTTTCTGGTTTTGGAACACTTTGCCTAAAAATTTAAAAACCATATAAAATAGAATTCCTGTGCCAGGTGAAAGACACCTTTAACTTACCAATTCCAAAACCAATTACTTTATATTTTCAGAAATATTTTTACTCTTTTGTATATTGAAAATGTCACGTTTTGACTGAAAGGAACCTGGAAAGCCCCTGGCTTACCACCACAGCATGCCACTGAAACAGGCATTGAATTATTCCTAAAGTTGAGTTTCAATATCATATCATTAAATCCTTTCCTAGCATGAAATCAAGTGGTAAATGCCATTGGCCCCCAAAAGTAACAAAAATAATGGGCCCCTAATAATTCTCCTATTCACTCATTATGAGTAGAATATCGTAATATGGCAATAGTAAAGCAAAAATTTAGCTCACTTTATTTTCATTTTTACCTCATCTCCCTCTTGGAAACCTACTAAAATAACAATAAACATATATAAAGTAGAGATAACATGTTTTTGTGTTGATGTTTTTCAGATATGTTTCCTTTTTCTTGGCTTCCTTTTCCTCTTATTGGTAAAGCCCACCTTAAATACAATGATCTTTAAATTGGGGTAACATGTACCCCTGGATGTACAGAAAGACTTTTCAAAGAGTACATAGGGCATGGCTAGTTTTAAGGGTACCTATTTGTCAATTTCAACTCCCACATGTTCTTTCTCCTGAAACTTATCTATTTAAGATGATTTTGGTGAGGTTCTCCTTTCTTAGTCACTCTTCTTCACTTACAAAAGAAAGGCCTGGTACACTGTTGTCAAACAATAGTTCTATACCAATTAGTTTAAAGCTTTACATTATCCTGCATTGTTCTATAATTGTTTTATATGTGTTGGAGTTGTCTCACACACTAAGTTCCTATGGGTTTTATAGTATACAGTATTAAGAAGAAAACAGAGACAAGGCATTGTTTATAGATATTGTTAGCAACTCTGCTTATTTGCTTCTAAGCTTGCCTAAAGTCTTAGTTTACAAAGTATAAAATACTCTTAAAACTTTATATTACAAACAATGTTATTACAAACGCAAAATTAAAAGTCAATATATATGAAATTTTATCAACAAAAAAGGTTATTGAAATCAGTCCTTCAGTAAATCTAAAAAAAATAGTTCTTAACAAAAATATTATTTAAAGTAAGGACCACAAAATTTTTTTGTGAATAGTAAATATTTTAGGCTTTGAGGACCATTTATTTAACTGTGTATACTTAACTATGTATAACTATTTTAACTGTGTTGTGGCAAAAAAAAAATAAAGTAGCCAAAGACAACATGTAAACCAATGAATATAGCTGAGTTTCAATAAACCTTTATTTACAAAACAGGAAGTGGACTACACTTGTCCCATGTGCATTAGTTTGCTGGCCCAATACAAGTAATATAAAAAAGGGGAAAAAAAAAAGGGTTACCAGATTTCCTTTGTCGGCGGCCCAAGAGGTCTGTAACTGCTTTTCGGAATTTTTTTGCTTCTTCTTCATTGGCAAAATTAAGAGCAACTTGACAAGTCTGAAATATTTTCATTAAAAGGCAAACAACAAAACGTACAAATTTAGCTTTATATCATAAAAACAATGAGCAACAGAAGTATATTTCTAAAGAAGGAAAGGTTAACTTTTCTAGCAGATAAGACGTTATTTCATGATCTGAATAACTTAACACAAAAAGCATGGAGAAGGTCAAGTAAAAGATTACTATTAGAGAAGTTACCTATCATAGCAGACACAAATACTAATTTGAATATTTCATCTTTAGCAAAAACATAAAATAGTAAAGAGAATTTGATCTTTCATTAAGGCTCTATAAATAATTTGGATTAGAAAAGGCAAGCAATGAGAAAAGTAAAGATGGAGATAAAAATATGACTTACATCTCCAGCAAAGGTATGAAAATATCCTCTAGGACTATTATATACAAAGTTATTGTATAGCTCTTGTTCCCACAATAGTTTCCCATCCTAGAAAAAAGTCAAATATTATAAAAAGAACTACCGAAACGTAATCTCTAGGAATAAAATGAAGCAGATGACTCCTATTAAGATAACTGTTTATATTAAAAATAACTTTTACATGCACACATATAACATTTGTAAGTAGTGTCATATAATTTAATCAGTAATCTTAAAAGTGTAAACACTGGATAACCTATCTTTCATAAAACCTACATATCAAGTGAATTTGATTCAGCTAAGATATAATCTCACTAACCAACCATTTCCAAATTCAGTGACTTGGTCAAACACATAACCAGAATAATTACTAGGTCATCAGTGTTACATAGAAGGAATAGGATACTTCTGTACATGCACTGATTACGAAAGCACAGTTCCACCAGCAATATTTAGATGATGTACTATCAAATATATTACAGGGATACTTTTATGTTCTTTTTCTCAATTTTACAGATGTGGGAGGGTCAAGTATACCTTCCTTATACTGCTCATTAACCACCTTCAAATTCTTAACTTTTGCAGAGTAGCCTTCTAATTATATACTGGTATAAGTAATATTAATCATGATGCAGAAAGAGACTGATAATTAAAATGCATCAAAGTTAAACTATGGATAAGAGTGCCATGATGACTGCCATACCTATTGCCATAGTACAAAAAAATATGTTTAACCTTAATACCAAAGGTGACTAATTAATGAGCGTTCAGCAGTAATTATCTACAATTGGAAATAAGTGGTTAGAGAAAGATAGTCATTGCCCTATTCAGAAATGCAAGGTTCTATCTAGACCACAATTTAAAAATATGTAAAATTCACTGTTCACACATTATATAACCACTGCAATGGAATTCCTTTCTTCTTAGTGGAGTAGTATGCTGGTATGTGTATGCCATTTCTGAATAGTGCTTCTCAATGGCTATGAGAACTATGTCAAAGCACTTAGGGATTTCTTTCAAACTATGTATGTGTTCCCCACCCCTCCAGAATCCCCACTCCCAACATAGTATGTGTTTAGTAAGCCATAGTAAGCCGCTGCTAGTGACAGGAGCATGCCATATCGCTCAGCCGTCTTGGAAGCAGACATTAAGAAGCACTAATTTAAGCACTAATTTAGCCCGGGACTGATGGCTCAGGCCTATAATCTCAGCACTTTGGGAGCCTGAGGCAGGAGGCTCACTTGAGTCCAGGAGTTTGAAACCAGCCTGGACAAAACAGCAGAACCCCATCTCTACAAAAATATACTAAAATTAGCCAGGTTTGGTGGCATTCGCCTGTAGTCCCAGCTACTCAGGAGGCTGAGGTGGGATGACTGCTTGGGCCCAGGAGATCAAGGTTGCAGTAAGCTGTGCACTCCGGCCTGGGTGACAGAGCAAGAGCAAGACCCTATCTCAAAAAGTAAATCAACAACAAAAAAGAAGTACTAATTTACCAAATATTGTAACTGAGATCTTATTTAATCTCAGTGAAATTCTTTGTAACAGACCAAATATTGTTATCTCATTTTACAAATAAAGCTGAGGCCAAAGGTGTAAAAATCTCTATTATTCAGGTCATATTAGTGCCCAGGAGTTTAGAGGCAGTTTTAGTTTTTTATAATTAAAATCTCATTACACTTATTGCCACATGTAAATATTAATCATGGAGGCTTACTTACAGAAAGGCTTTTAAAAAAATAATGGAGACTTCATCTTAGCAAAATGATAGTTTTATGACAACTATAAGAAATAAGTACCTAACAAAGGGTATCCAATCTATAGCAATGTGATTTATGATTGGGAGTGAGGGATATAAAGCTATGAAAATCTGAATATATCTATCATGAGAAACAACATAAGAAAAAATGAGTAGGAAACAGATTTTGATAGATATTGAAATGTTTTAAACTTGGGCTAAATAATAGTACATACTGAGCTAAAATATTATTTTGTTGTTCCCTGAATAGACTATGTGTGCTATTCTATAATGAACAAGATAGAATAAGAGTATCATTAAAAAAATACAGTGTGTGGAGATAGCCCAAGACCCAATAGGCATAATTAAAAAAAAAGTCTTAATGCACGGTAGCAGTAGAAAGATAAAATAGGAAACTATTCACATGCTGGCTTAGGACATGCTCCCATTTGGTCATGATTTCCGTCTGTCAAAATCTAAAAATCAAGCTTCACCCTTCCTTTTTTTTGAGACGAAGTTTCGCTCTCATTGCCCAAGCTGGAGTGCAATGGCGCGATCTCCGCTCACCGAAACCTCCGCCTCTGGGGTTCAAGCGATTATCCTGCCTCAGCCTCCCGAGCAGCTGTGATTACAGGCATAAGCCAACACACTCAGCTAATTTGGTATTTTTAGTAAAGACGGGGTTTCTCCATGTTGGTCAGACTGGTCTCGAACTCCCGAGCTCAGGTGATCCTTCTGCCTTGGCCTCTCAAAGGGCTGGGATTCCAGGTGTGAGCCACCAAGCCCGGCCACTTCACTCTTCTAATATTAGTTTATGTACAATTTAAAATATCACATAAACGATAAACAAATAAATCTAAACTAAATTATAATTGATACAGAAAACTTAATCACCTCGAGTTTAAAGTAAAAGCAAAAGAAAACTCACCTTAATGTCAAATATTCTTAAAAAATAAGATCTCTGTGGATTGTCCTTAACAAGACAAGCAACACCACTGCACTTCTTTGACCACATACAGTTCCGATCTGCTGCATATAACTGCACCACTGCTGAAGACATAGTCTGTGAAATATAAAATTTATAATGATTAGGTTCAAAATAATATGTAGATGATCACAGCCCCTGCTGACAGCTTGACTGCAACCACCCAGCTAAGCTGCTGCTGAATTTCTGACTCACAGAAACAAGGAGATAATAAACATGTATTGTTATTTTAAGCCACTAGTTTTTGAATTTCTCATGCAGTAATAATGAACAAATACAATAATCATATAACAACAGTTACTGAAAACTAACATTTATTGATGCTTAAAATGTGTTAGGAAATGTATTAATCACTTTTAAATACAGCCTCATTTAATTTTTATTACTATGACAACTTCATTTTATACTTGAGAAACTTGACACTAAAGAGGGTAATTTGCCCAATACCACACAGCTAAATGGCACAGCTAAAATTCCAAGTCCAGGCAATTTGTGACTTCAAATCCAGTATTCTTACTTCCCCTTTTATACTGTTTCCCAATAAAGTAAACATTTAAGCAATAAAGTAGTAATATTAGTAACAGCTGACTTCTATAAAAGAGTTAAACACCTTAGATAACAACTGAATCAAACTTGAAGGCAGTATTACCATCCTGGAAGGCAGATTATAATATCTCCTTTCTAAAGTGAGTTTAAGATTGCAAGTGATTTGCACAAGGCACCACACAGTTTTAATGCTCTACTGAGGATATGAAAAAGATTTGAGTGACTATTGTCTCAATTTTACCAAGGATAGTCCCTAAAGCCCTTTCAGGTGTATAGGAGGGAAGCTAACTCGTTACAGGCAATGGACACTTTAAGGCATGAGGATTTTCCAGTACAACATGTTGCCATCTTCCTCAAGACTATAACATGAAGGGGTGTAAACTAAATTTGTTCTAAGTTTTCTTTTATAACCTAGAATGTAACTATTCAACATTAGTTTCTACAAAAGTGATATACACATAAACTGATAAAGCACTTAGAAATCCTTTGAAAGCCATAATTACATTTTTTGATCCAGTAATTTCACTTCAAAACTGGAAATTTAGGAAATCATTTAGAATATAACAAATACTTCATATTTTAATGTAAATATAAAAATATTTCATATGTATATTATTTTATTTTAAAGAGGAAGAATTGAAATAACTCAAAATAGGAGCCAATTAAGTAACTGTGGTTCTTTGGTTCAATGGAATTTGAGCTTTTTAATAAAAAATAGACCACATTAAGGTTTAGAGATACGCTGTTTTAGGTTAACTTAACTATACCTGAGGGCTGCCCTCTTTCGGTAAGAGGAATTCCAAAGAACAATTATATGCATGAATCTTTTATAACAATACTAAAGTCAGAAATATAAGATCAGTGCACCGTTAGGATCAAAAGTTCATAAAGACTTGCCCAGATAACAACGTTCAATGTTATATTTTTAACATTAGACCAAACCCAACCTTGAACTTCATACACAGTACTGAGCAGGACATAAAGAAGTGGGAAATTTTCTACAAGAGTCATTAAAAATTATGATAACTTAGAAACAAAAATGTGTATACTGGGTCACTGGGTTTAAGAGAGACTGAGGAATGCAGGATACTTTTTGGCCTGCTCAAAACATACCCATGTCTGCAAGTGTACAATCTCAGGATGATAGCACCATACGCATTCTGACCCCAGCACTGAAAACTTCAGAAAAATTGTTCCTGCATACACTATCTAAACATATTAAATACCAGGCTGAAGAATTCAAAAATCAAACAAGCAAATTTATTTTCTAAAAATAACTCATATAAATTAAAGCCTTTTTTAGTATGGTGCTGTCAAAATACATTCATTTCTAAAAAGGAAAGTAATAAGGAAACTAGATGTATCAAAATGAAGATCTAAAAACCAGAGATCAAGAACAGCTTGCAAAAAAAAAAGTTATTTAATAGGGTCTGAAATTCCATTATGAAAATCTCCTTGCTAGCCAAAGGACTAAATATTCACATTGTAAAACCTCATGTGGCTATATATGTGAACTTGAAAAGACAAAACAAAAAACCCTAATTAAAACAACATATAAACCTTTAAATTCTTAAAACACTTGCTTAAGAAAAGGAGTAACAATGCTATAATTTTTCAGACACGATATTGCAGTATAAACATTATTAAAACTAAAAAACTGAACTATTCAAAAGCAATTTTCAGTAACTGGATTTTCAAAAATCTGCTGTACTCTTATTATCAGTCTAAGTATCTATTTCATTCCTTCTTACCTTTATGTATCAGTCTGAAAATGAGATACCACAGTACTTTGTAAGGCCTTTTCTGACTAATTCAGAATAATTACAGTGAATATGAGAGTAACTCGTGTACATTTAATACAGTATATTAATGCTAGACAATATAAAAACAGTAACTAACAACCAAATTCTAGATTGACAGTGACTTAATTAAGTTTTTAAAAACATTCCTTCCGTTCTTCTAGGTAATTGTAATGAATCAATTCCATTCCTTCTTGTCTTTCGTAATTAAGAAGATATTAATGAAAAACAACCTAAGAACAAGGGCTTAGGAAGGGAAATCTATTTCTGATTAGCCTAATAATGTTAAGTTTAAAATCTGCTAATTAAAAGGCGGAAAAAGGACTGTATCAACTTTGGTACAAACAGAACCTGTCGTATCTTGTGTATTCCTGATATTTCAGTACTGAGTAACTGTAATAACATATTCATTCTCAGAACTCTGGTGGTCAAGGGCAGGAAGAACATGGGGGATGTTTTCTACGAAGTGAATTCCCTCCCACTGTCCTTCTGCATGGCATTTTGACCTCTCTGAGCCTGACTCTGCACCAGTTGAGAAGTATTTCCCTGATCCCTAAGTTGAAATGACTGCTTTTTTTTCCCCTCACATTTCTAGAGTACTTGTTTGTGTACCTTGTGTTACTCTGTTATTCCACTGATTTTATTCTAAATCAGAATAATTTTCTGTATTGCTTTCTTAACCACTAAAAAGACTGCAATTCCCATAAGCACTTAAAGTAGTTTTGCAAGCTTATACTTTTACTCCACCTATACTTTGTCCCCAAGTGAACAAACATGTGTTAAAAACTGCATGTTCTGATTTTGATAATGATACTATGATAATAAGAGATTTTAGGGTATTCTGATTTTAGAATATATAGCCTGAAATTGAGGCATTACGTCTGCAACTTCTCACGTTATTCAGAATAAAATAACATACATGTATACACATATATATAGAGAAAAAAAAACATGGTAAATGCAATAAGCATTTGGCAAATCTTGATGAAGGATATATAGAAGTTCTTTATACTGTATCTACAAGTATGAAATTATTTCTAAGTTTAAGAAGCACAAATGATTCATTAAAATGTATGACCCTTAGCTCTCTTTCACAACCACAGCAATCTCAAGAGCGTGGTCCTCTCCTCAGAGCCATTAGTACCTCTATATATGTTAGCCACTGCCACAACGGCCCAAAACTAAGAAAACTGCTACTTCCTTCTACTCCTGCTATATGTATACCAACTTTCTTTCTTAAAAGGCACTCTATCCTGAGTAGGACTTAAACCACAAACATTCAGCACTTCTACTGTTTAAATTCCTTTCACATTTTCAGAATAACCACATTATGTAACTGGTCAGAATAAGAATTTTAGATCGGGAAAATAGGTGTTTTTTGGACTACAGAATCAGCTAGACAAGGAAAAGACTAGAAAATACTAGGAGTCACAGGGATCCTTGTTTTTAGCCATCAACAGCCTACAACAAATAAGAAGATGACTTAATTTTGAATAGCTGTCTACAATAATTATTTTTAATAATCTAATAAATATATTATGCTGTTAAAGAAAATATTTAAAAATATTTTCTATTTTTCGAGACTAGGTCTTGCTCTGTCACCCAGGTAGGAGTGCAGTGGCAAGATCATAACTCACTGCAGAATCAAACCCCTAGGTTCAGGTGATTCTCCTACCTCACTCAGCCTTCTGAGTAGCTGGGACTACCAGCACACACCACCATGCCTTGCTAATTTTCTAATTTTTTGTAGAGATGCCGTCTAACTATGTTGCCCAGGATGGTCTCAAACTCCTGACCTCAAGTGATCCTCCTACCTTGGCCTCCAAAAGTGTTGGGATTACAGATGTGAGCCACTGTGCCTGGCCAAAAATATATTTTCAATAAATAGCCAAAATACACTAAATGTGAGGAGAAAAAAAAATCATGACTTAATAAAGTTTTTTCTATGATCACGTTGGCCTAGATTAATAGTCAAATACTCCAAATTTTATATGTACACATGTGTCTGAGTGTGTATTTGGCCTCAAATGTCTGAAAACTAATATAAGAAAATCCATTCTAAGTTTTCTTATTATATAAAAGCTAAGATTTAAACACAATTCTAGATGTTCTCATTATATATTCACATAAATTGACCTATTATTACTCTGAATATACACTTGGCCCTTGAACACAGGTTTGAACTGTGTAGGCCCACTTACATGCAGATATTTTTCACTAAATACATTCAGGACTCCAGATCACAGAGTTCTGCATTGACGACCAAAGGCAGACTGAAAAATACGGTTATTAGCAGGATAAGACACCCATATAAGAGGAGGGCAGACTTTTCATATGGGTGGGTTCTGAAGGACCTGAGTATGTGTGGACTTTGGTATCCGTGGGTGGTTCTGGAACCAATCCCCCACGGATATCAAGAGATGACTGTAAAATTTTAACCTATATATTATAAAGGAAAGTATAAAAGTAAAGAAATGGCAAAGAATTTGGTTGAATTCTTATAGTTAATTATGCAGTGATCTCAAGGAGGTAAAGTAGCAACACCTGTTATTTGGCCACCTCAAAACCCAATGCAGAAATCATAAATTTAAAAGGTAAAAACAATGTATCTGGCAGGGAACAATAACTCCTGAGTGGTGAGTATCGGAACTATCCAGGAAAAGAAAACACAAAAATTTACTTTGGAGAGAAGGGATCTTACCACCTGGTAATTTCTACAATGAGAAATAACCA